AAATGTGTATAGTCATGTAACCAACACTTAAGTCAAAATATAGGACAATTTTGTTCTAGTATAAGTGGTATTGGTAGTGCTTGTCCTTGTGTGTCTGACTTATCTCACTTAGCATAATGCCCTGTGGGTTCATTCCTATGGTTGCAAATGATAGGATTTCTATTCCATTCTTTTCTGTTGCCTCCAATCCTTGGTTCCAAATTCCAGCACCCGTCTTCTCCAGCCAGCCAACACCCACCCATGCCACCTGTCTAGATGGTCTCCACCAAAATGTCCTTACAACATTTTGAGGGAGGGCATCATTCTCATGTACCTGTAAAGTCTTTCTCAGAAGCCATCTTGGAGAAGAAAAGCTCAAGTGAGATGGTCACTCTTGATTGAGATGATAGCTTGTGCATCTACTCCCGGGCAGATTTAGACCTAAAATCAGAAGCTCTGCTCTCCCTGTAAAAAGGGTCATACCCTGGATTGCTACTGTCTTGTCCTCCCCATTAGGACTCGCTAAGGATATAGCAGGGGGGTTCTTCCAGCTGACTTCCTGTGTGCATCATTTAGGAAACTTAAACTTACAGGAAAGATGGGTGCAGAAGAAGTAGTGGGTGAGGACCCAGGGCCACCCACTGGAGTTTTTTACGTTGACCACATAGAGAGTGGGCACAGCCAATGCCTGTGAGAAACCTGGCTATGTGCTATGGGGTTTTGTTTTTTGTTTTTAAAACCACACTTGACCTATGGAAACATTTAGATACCAAACCATGGGGGAGAGAGGAAGTGGTTGCTAGTTCAAAGGAGACAATGAGGCAGGCTTGCCTGTAGATAACAAAGATGTCTCTGGGCCAGAAGGGATCTTGTCTCACTTCTCTCCCATAAAACATCTTAATTTACTCATCATTGTCAGCCTAAAGTCCATTCATAGCATGAAGGTAAGGTTCGTAATGAGTGGGTCCCTGTATCAGGAAAGAACTAGTTGTCCTTTGGGGATAAAGTGACCAGGGGCAGAGAAGTAGTTCTCTTGGTATAGTGAGAAAGTTCTGCTACCTCTCACTTAGAGAGTTTGAGAGTCTATTCAAGAGGCTGGTTGCCTGATAACATGTTCCTATGAAATTGTTTTAAAAGTTGTGGGGAGCTCCCTGGAATTTAAGTCAGCTTCCTGGCACCACAGAGGATCAGGTTAGTATCTCCATGGCCTGGCCCTAATTGGGGTTGGGTCTGGACTTTAGAGAATGGGTCTAGCCTCGGTTTCCTTGTGGCTTTCTTCTCTGCTAACTACTTTAATAATTTACATAGGCATATGACAGTTCTGTATCTCAAGTCCCTTGGTATTGTTAATTCTTCCATAATATTTGGGGTTTCTTTGTTTCTTTATGAAGTTTGCAATTTTTTTTTTAAGATTTTTATTTATTTATTTGACAGAGAGAGAGATAGCGAGAGCAGGAACACAAGCAGGGGGAGTGGGAGAGGGAGAAGCAGGCTTCCCGCCGAGCAGGGAGCCCGATGTGGGACTTGATCCCAGGACCCTGGGATCATGACCTGAGCCGAAGGCAGACGCTTAACGACTGAGCCACCCAGGCGCCCAAGTTTGCAATTTTTTATTGCTGGTTATTCACAGTGAGTTTTCCTACCTATGGGATTCCAACGTATATTGTTGTGTGTACTTGTAGCGAAAGTGTTGCCTTCCATTTGATTCTTCTGGAGGGCCCAGGTGTCTCAGCAGGCTGTAAGCAATCTTACATTCATTTGTGGTTTTGGTCCTACATGGCTCAGAAGTGGAATTCAACTTCACACTCTTGTGGAAGATGTCAGTGTTTCTGATTTTTCGTAAGTCTGCGTCCAGACTTGCAGACAGGCAGGTTTGCTTGTCGTTTTCTGAGATGGTGATTGGAGCAGTTCTAGAGCCACTTTTTCTAAGAGGGAAATCCTTCCAAGGACTTGACTTTATCAAAGTGTTTTTACTTGAGCCCATTTGTCGTCTTAAGCTCACTCCCATACTCCTGGGACTATCTCTGTTTAAAGTTTGTAAGCCATGTTGGAAATGATGGATTTCAAGCCATCACTCAATCACTTAAAGAGTGAGCAACCCCGAGGATGTCATTAACAATATATTCATTTTTTTTGGTACTTGAAAAAAAAACTTTATTGAACTATACCATACAATTTACCTATTTAAAGTATATAATTCAATGGTTTTTAGTACATTCACAGAATTGCTCAACCATTACCACAATGTAATTTTAGAATTTTTCCACCACCACAAAAAGAAACCCAGCGCTCCCTGGCCATTAATGTCAATTACCGCCCCCCCCACCCCCCGCCGCCAACTCTACCAGCTCCAGGCAACAAGTAATCTACTTTCAGTCTCTACAGGCCACAACGAACTTTTCACAGATTGTGGTAAAAAATACGTAACATAAATTTTTTTTTTTACCATTTTAACTATTTAAAAAGCTTTTTATTGTAGCAAAAAACGCATAACATGAAATTTACCATCTTCAGCCATTATACAGTAGTGTGCAGTGCGTTCACATTGTTGCTCCAGAACTTTTTCATCTTTCTTTCTTTCTTTTTTTTTTAAAGATTTTATTTATTCATGACAGACAGAGAGAGGCAGAGGGAGAAGCAGGCTTCCAAGGAGCAGGGAGCCCGATGCGGGACTCGATCCCAGGACCCTGAGATCATGACCTGAGCCGAAGGCAGGCGCTTAACCATCTGAGCCACCCAGGCACCCCTTTTTCATCTTTCAAAACTAAACCTTTATATCCCCAAAGGGAATTGTTCTTTGACAGACATAGGGTTTCATTTTAACCATTTTTGAGTGTATGGTTCAGTGACATTAAGCGTATTTACATTGTTGTGGGACCATCACCACCATGTCTCCAGAATTTTCTCATCATCCCAAACTGAAACTCTGTATCCATATATTTGTATCATTATTCAAATCATAATATTTTTTAAAGTTTTTTTTTTTTTTAAGTAATCTCTACACTCAGTGTGGGGCTTAAACTCACAACGCCGAGATCAAGAGTCGCACGCTCTATGGACTGAGCCAGCGGGTGCCCATCAAATCATATCATTTGTGAGCATCTCTTTGCCCACGTGATAGATGGACTGAATAGAATAAAATTCACAGGGTTGCAGCATGCTCCTGCAAATGAAGTGACTAGAATAAAGCCTAACATAAAAGTGAAGGTCATGGAATATAAGTCCCCATACTCTGCCCCTAAGCCGAGCCTTACACTTAACCTAAATCAACCCAATATATGAACTGTCGAGGCCAATGCACTCACCATTCAGTGCCTGAAATAAAAAAGGCAGAGTGGAATTTATTTTTACTATATTAAGGGAGAGTTATGCTGGTGTGCTGGTCAGATGGGATATCTCTGAGTCTCCGAGCAAAGCCTACAGATGATCCTAGACAGGATTTTTGGGATTCTCAGGGCCTCTTGTGGTTTGGCATTATTTGTAAAAGATGTTTATTTGAGGGGGACTTTTGATTGGCTATCACTCACAGATGTGCTTACTGGAGTAAACCTGTTTCTGATTGGCTGACATTTAGAAACAAGGAGCTGGCTGGTTGAATCGCCAAAGCATTTTCACTAAGGTGAGTGGTCACTGATGATGGGTGAAAAAGCGGTTCTGGTGGCACCTTGTCATCATGGCTACAGGACAATATAGTCTTTTCCTAGGAGGGGAAGATCTTTTTATTCCCAGGGTTACAGTCTGCTTTTCCAAACAAGACCCTGGTGTGGACAAAACCAAGTGTGTGAAACTAATCTTATCCCTCTGTCAGGATCAAACCCCATTGCATTCTTGGGTCCAAATCCTGGCTTTGATGTAAAGTCTCTGATTAGCCCTCATCCGAAACTATGGCACTTCCTTGTAGTTTTATCTGGTCCAATCACTAACATTTCCTTCATCAGCTTATTTATTCATAATCTCAATAAATATTTATAATATTTTATGCCAAATACTACAAAGAGATGGATCAATAGACTAAGCAATCTATCAAAAATTCCCAGAGGAAATGCTTGTTGGGGTTGTTTTCACAAGTCTATTGAATTTGCATTGGAGGCATGAGATATTTTGAAATGTTACAAATATACAATGGAATATTACTCAGCCATTAAAAAGAATGAAATCTTGCCATTTGAAATGATGTGGATGGAACTAGAGGGTGTTATACTAAACAAAATAAGTTAGTCAGAGAAAGACAAGTATCATATGATTTCACTCATACGTGGAATTTAAGAAACAAAACAGATGAACATAGGGGAAGGGAAGGAAAAATAAAATAAGACAAAATCAGAGAGGGAGACAAACCATAGAGACTTTTAACTATAGGAAACAAACTGAAGTTTGCTGGAGGGGAGATAGGGGGATGGGGTAACTGGGTGATGGGCATTAAAGAGGGCACTTGATATTATCAGCACTGGGTGTTATATGCAACTGATGAATCACTAAACTCTACCTCTGAAACTAATAATACACTATATGTTAATTAATTGATTTTAAACAAATAAATAAAAAGAAAAAAAGAAATGTTAGTTTCATAAGAACAGGAGAGTCTTCTTAGCAGTGGGGAAAGCCTGTGTTAATACACAAATGTCAGTGTAGGGAAAACTAGAAGGATACATGTCATGGAGTATATGGTATGTTGAATGGACAACATTAATAATTAGTAGTATTAATAATTTATGGAATTCTAAGTGTTAAGAGCTTACCTAGAAGGATGTGAGCGTATCTGGTTTTGCTGATAAATTCAAGACAGATTGAAATTTTGAGCCAGACCTTCTGTAGAGGCTGGGAGAAAAACAGTCAGCAATGAGAACTGAGAATGCTTTGCGTGATTTTTATCACAGGAATGAGCTAAACCAAGACTATACCAAGAATTTTGTCACCAACATATAGAAAGGTGGTATACAACTGTATCAGATATGTATAAGAAAATACCATTGGTTTGAAAATGTATCCAAAATTGTTAGTGCCTCTTTCTCTCTTTTGTTCTCCCAGTAGCTCTGCAGAACTCTGCAAGTGCTGACTCATTACTACTTCAGCAACAGGTGTCTACCTTTTGGCTGTTAGGAGTTTGTCCAAAGGTCCATTATGTCTGACATTTCTGTTTACTCCAGCTCAGCTCAGAAAGATCTGGACAGTCTTCCTTGTTTGGAGCCTGATGATTGTGCCAATTTTTAACCAGTATGGCCAAGAGAGCCACAAGGACCAGCCCTGCCACACCCATTCGGATCAAATTCCCCACTGTGTAATCTTGTTTCATTATATCTGCAGACATAATTAAAAGGAGATGAGCAATCACTGGTCATGTTCCATTTCATCCCAACCCCAGAGCCCTGAAAAGGAGCTCATTTCCCTATTTGTGTCAGAACCCCTCCTCAATGAACTCATGCACTAACAAGCGCCATACTTAATCCTTGAGCCTGGGTCAAAGGGGAGTCTTGTGAACAGGAAAGGAGGTGACTATGGGGATGTTGTGTTTGCTTTTCATTCCCTCTTCATTTCCCTCAAAGTCTAGTCATATCCTTCCTTGCAACACCTTCATATGTTTGAAATCCTAAATTTTCTCCTCTACACTTTCTTCACCCCATGTAACAACTTGTGTTCCTTTTTCATACATGACAAAGGATACAGCAGTGTTGGTATATGGGAAGTAGCCAGAGAAAAGTTTCAGATAATCTTAGGTAAATTGTATCTCCACTATTGTGTGACTGTTCACTGGACATTGCTGTTCTCTGAATCTTTAAAAAAAAAAATTCTTCATTTGTTATATGGACTTTCTGGGCCCATGTTCATTTCAAGGATGTAATAAAATAGTGTGAAATGACAATGCTCAGAAATCATAGTAACTCTCTTGTTAAAATACAGAAATAATTTCAAATGGATTTGGAATTTCAAATTAGTTCCTAATTACAAAATGCACAGTATTTTGAGTTTGAGAGGATAATACAGGATAGTATTATCCCAACACTGGGATAGATGATTTCTAAGACAAGATACTGTGGCTATCTGCTTTAAAGAAAAAGACTAATAAATTCACTCCTCCTCCATCCGTGCCCAATTATCTATGCACTGTTAAATGAAAAAGCACTCTAGCCTCTCTGATCTTACAGTGCCATGACTACTCTAAGTGCTCAGCTTGTAGAGTGATTGGACAAGGTGGGCACGAGAGATGAATGTGGTTGCCCTGTGCAGCAGAGTCAGCAGTTGCTTTCCTTTGCTGTAACTTGTCTTCTTCTGCCGAGTAGAGAGATGCAAACACTGTGATAATGGGGCTCATGTTAGAGTTTTTAGAGTTCTTTCCACGAGCCATAAATTTCCAGCCAATCACTCAGAGCAGACTATAGTACTGAAGGTTAGTTTAAGGGTTTCCAGATGCAACCAAGGATGTGAAGAAGAGAGGTGGGTTAGTCTGAGGTGGTGTCTGGGATCTATTGTCTCAACACTGCCCCTTAACGTGACTCTGAACTTTGGCTGCTCCATTCTCAACAGACCACATGTTTTTAAAGGGCACTGTCTGGAGAACTCTAGGAGAGGATGTGAAAATCAAATGGGGTGTGGATGAAAGTCTTTCTTCACAGCCTCTACTGCCCCACTGTTCTTTCTCAGTGCCCCTCTTTGTATTCCTGCCGGAGGCCAAGGCCCCAAGGGGAGGACACAGGGCTGGGCTGGGGTGCACCTACCTGTGACCACAAGCCCCAGGGCATCACTGGGGGCTGACCACACATAAGGGCTGCTGCTGTACCAACCATAGCACCTGTAGTTCCCTGAGAAGCTTTGGTTCACAGGACCTAGAATGAAGGTGCCTTGGTGTCTGCCATTTTGGTTCTGTGACAGGGTGGCTCCTCCTTCCTTGATCAGTGAAAATCTATCAAATGGGATGTGTGCTGACCTGCACTGCAGGGAGATATTCTTCCCTAGCATCACCACAATGCCCTGGTCAGCAGAGAAGAAGGGTTTGTTGTAGAAGCCTAAAAGAGAAGAGAGTAAGCTAATAGCAAGATTTTTCTTCCTTTCCCTGTTATCCCCACCACACCTATTGGGTCCATGGTAAGACCCGGATCCAAAGGAATGGGAGCTGGGAACTTCTCATTTCCCTACTCCAAGACCCATACTCTGTCCCAAACTATTCAGACAAGTCTGAGCAAGCAAGCAGCCTGTGGGGCTTGGATGAGATGCCATCTTCAAGAGCTGGAGATCTTGTTTCTAGAGCCATAAGACCCAAATGATTCTGTTCCCAATTACAACATGTGGGGTTCCCCCCCACACCACCAAGCAGTCCCGAGACACCCACTGGGCATCCCGCAATTCAACTTAATTCTGACACTATCTACCTGGAGATAACATCAGATCCCAAAGATTAAGGGCTCAGTCTTGAGAACGCTCCCACTTCAGATGCCAATCACAAGCCTCTCATGTCACCGGTGCTTCTGACAGAATGGCTGTAAATCAGAAGTTCCCACAACCCCTTCCTTGGTTCATTTAATTTGCCAGAGCAATTTACAGGCTCAGGAGATCAGTTTACTTACTAGATCACTGGTTTATTATAAAGGATACAATCAGGGACAGCCAGATGGTAGGGATGTGTAAGGCCAGGTGCCCTCTCCAGGTGCGCCTCTCTACCACTACCTCCACGTGTTCACCAACCTGGAAGCTCTCTGAACCCTGTCCTTTTGGGTTCTTATGGAGGCTTCATTACCTAGGCATGGTTGATTAAATCTTTGGCCATTAGCCATTGATTCAACCTCCAGCCCCTCACCCATCCCTGGAGGTGGGGATGGGGAGCGACTGAAAGTTCAAACATTTTAGTCACATGGTCGGTTCTCCTGGCAACCAACCCGGGTCCTTAAGTGGGGTCCAAAAGTCACCTCATTGACATAACCTCAGGCAAGGTAGGAAGAAGGGGTTTGTTAGAATATCAAAACACTTTACCATTCTTAGTCATTCAGGAAATTCCAAGGGATTTAAGAGCTCTGTGCCAGGAACAGGAACAAAAACCAAATATATAGTTCTTATTATAAATCACAGTATCACAAGCCATATTTGGGGAAAAGGGGGAATAGTATCCAGAGTTTGAGGAGCTAAGTCAGAGGTTGAGAGAGGCGACATTATGTAAAAAGAATGTTAGCAAGTGAAAAGACTTGGAAATTCAGGATGGACCCTTCCAGAAACAAACCCTTCTAGAAACACAGGGTCAAGCCACCCTGAGGACAGAGGGCTTAAAATCTAGGGCCAGGCTTGTGCAGGGAGCATAACTTCCCCCTCCTTAGGTACAGGCTGCATTTACTGATTTCTATCCATACAGAAAGGGTCAGGAGGAGAAACCTGCACATGCTATCTCAGCCGGGTGCTCAAGCTTAGCATCAACAGCCATATTCATTTGTATGGTGTGTACCCTTAATGTGATGTGGTAAAAATGGCACTGTGCTTCTGTGGTCTTCCTCACAGTTACCCCAGGAACCCTGTCTTATCATGAGAGAAACATCAGACAACTTCCAATAGTGGGGCATCCTACAAAGTACCTGACCAGCCCTCCTCAAAACTGCCACAGCCAAGAGCAGCCTAAGGAGATGTGACAACTGCATGCAGTGTGGGATGGGATCCTAGAGCAGATGAATGACTGCTGCGTAAAAGCTAAGGAAATCTTTTTAAAATTTTTATTTAAATTCAATTAGCCAACATATGTACATCATTAGTTTCAGATGTAGTGATCAATAATTCATCAGTTGCCTATAACACCCAGTGCTCATCACATCAGGTGCCCTCCTGCATGCCCATCAACAGTTGTAAAAGCTAAGGAGACCTAAATAAACTATGCACTTTGGCAAATGCTAAGTTATCCATATTGGTTCATTAATGGTAAGAAAAGTGCCATACCAACAGAATATGTTAACAACAAGGGAGAGTGGGTGATAGGTATATGGGGATGTTCTGTCCTCTCTTCTCAATTTTTCTGGAAACATGAAACTGTTCTAGAAGTAAAGTCTACATCAAAAACTAATGATGCTATGGTAAATGGATCCCATTTACAATAATCCCAAAACCATAAGATACCTCAGAATAAACCTAACCAAAGAGGTAAAGGATCTATACTCTAGGAACTATAGAACACTCATGAAAGAAATTGAAGAAGACACAAAAAGAAGGAAAAATATTCCATGCTTTTTCTTCCATGGATTGGAAGAATAAACATTGTTAAAATGTCTATGCTACTCAGAGCAATCTATACCTTCAATGCCATCCTGATCAAAATTCCAATGACATTTTTCAAAGTGCTGGAACAAACAATCCTAAAATTTGTATGGAATCAGAAAAGATCCCGAATCACCAAGGAAATGTTGAAAAAGAAAAACAAAGCTGGGGGCATCACATTGCCCGATTTCAAGCTATATTACAAAGCCGTGAACACCAAGACAGCATGGTACTGGCACAAAAACAGACATATAGACCAATGGAACAGAATAGAGAGCCCACATATGGACCCTCAACTCTATGGTCAAATAATCTTTGACAAAGCAGGAGAAAATATGCAATGGAAAAAAGACAGTCTCTTCAATAAATGGTGCTAGGAAAATTGGACAGCCACATGCAGAAGAATGAAACTTGACCATTCTCTAACGCCACACACAAAGATAAACTCAAAATGGATGAAAGACCTCAATGTGAGACAGGAATCCATCAAAATCCTAGAGGAAAACACAGGCAGTAACCTCTTTGACATTGGCCACAGCAACTTCTTTCAAGATTCATCTCCAAAAGGTAGTGAAACAAAAGCAAAAATGAACTTTTGGGACTTCGTCAAGATAAAAAGCTTCTGCACAGTAAAGGAAAGAGTCAACAAAACAAAGAGGCAACCCACAGAATGGGAGAAGATATTTGCAAATGGCACTACAGATAAAGGGCTGGTATCCAAGATCTATAAAGAACTTCTCAAACTCAACACCCAAAAAACAAATAAGTCAAGAAATAGGCAGAAGACATGAACAGACACTTCTCTAAAGAAGACATACAAATGGCTAACAGACACATGAAAAAATGTTCATCATCATTAGCCATCAGGGAAATTCAAATCAAAACCACATTGAGATACCAACTTACACCAGTTAGAATGGCAAAAATGGACAGGGCAAGAAATAATAAATGTTGGAGAGGTTGTGGAGAAAGGGGAACCCTCTTACATTGTTGGTGGGAATGCAAGTTAGTACAGCCACTTTGGAGAACAGTGTGGAGGTGCCTCAGAAAATGAAAAATAGAGCTGCCCTATGACCCAACAATTGCACTCTTGGGTATTTACCCCAAAGACACAGATGTAGTGAAAAGAAGGGCCATATGCACCCCAATGTTCATAGCAGCAATGTCTGCAATAGCCAAACTGTGGAAAGAGCTGAGATGCCCTTCAACAGATGAATGGATAATGAAGATGTGGTCCATATATACAATGGAATATTACTCAGCCATTAGAAAGAATGAATACCCAACTTTTACATCAGCATGGATGGGACTGGAGGAGATTATGCTAAGTGAAATAAGTCAAGCAGAGAAAGTCAATTATCATATGGTTTCACTTATTTGTGGAACAAAAGGAATAGCATGGAAGACATTAGGAGAAGGAAGGGAAAAATGGGGGAAAATCAGAGGGAGAGATGAACCATGAGAGACTATGGACTCTGAGAAATGAACTGAGGGTTTTAGAGGGGAGAGGGGTGGGGGGATGGGTGAGCCCAGTGATGGGTATTAAGCAGGGCACATACTGCATAGAGCACTGGGTGTTATACGCAAACAATGAAGCATGGATCACTACATCAAAAACTAATGATTTATTATATGGTGACTAACATAACACAATAAAATAAAATTAAATTAAAAAAAAGTAAAGTCTATGAAAAAATAAGAAAGAAAGAACACAGAGGGCTGGAGACCTTGGATGTGTCCTCACCTGTCACCACCAGCTCCAAGGCTTTACTGTGCTCTGACCAGTGGTCCTGTTTCCTATACTGGCACTGATAACGTCCTGCAGTGTTTGGATTCATGTGTTTAATGAGGAATTCAGCCTTCTTCTGAAATCCCAATTTCTTCTCCACCACCTCGAATGTGGAGTTTCCCAGGATTTCCAGTTGGTACAAGTAAGACTCGGGAGTCCCCCAACACAGGATCTTCACAGAGTCATTCCAGGGAATCACAGAACCAGGTGTGGCAGATATGATAGGAACAGGAAAATCCCCTAGAAGAAAATAAAGCCCAGACTCAGGTGGTCTGCTATGGAGAAACCACAGTCCTTTCCTTCTCTCTGGACAGAATACAAATAAATTAAGGTGTGAAGGACCTGCAATTCTTTCCTTTTTAAAATCTTTTTTTGGTATTTTCTAAATGTAGTAAAATATATAAAATGTGAAATTTAGCATTTCAACTTTCTTTTCTTTTCTTTCTTTCTTTCTTTCTTTTTTTAGGTAGGCTCCACACCCAACATGGGGCTTGAACTCATGACCCTGATATTGATAGTCACATGCTCTACCGACTGAGGCAGCCAGGCACCCTCCCCCCTTTTTAACCATTTTTTTTAAAGATTTTTATTTATTTGTTTAACACAGAGAGAGAGAGAGCACAAGTAGGCAGAGCAGCTCGAGTGAGAGGGAGAAGCAGGCTCTCCGCCGAGCAGGGAGCTCGATCCCAGGACCCTGGGATCGTGACCTGAGCCGAAGGCAGCCGCTTAACGACTGAGCCACCCAGGCGCCCCTTTAACCATTTTTTTAAGTGAACAGTTCAATGGCAATAATTACATTCACTACATTGTGCAAACATGACCTCTATTTTCAGAATTTTTTTATGACTCCAGACAGAAACTCTATAATCATTAAGCAATAACTCCCCACTCCCTCTTTCCTCAGCCACCAGTAATATCTGATCTACTTTCTGTCTATGAATTTGCCTATTCAAGGTACTCCATATGAGTGGAATAATACAATATTTGTCCTTCTGTGTCTGGTGTATTTCACTGAGCATAATACCCTGAGTAAGGTTCACGCATGTTGTGGCATGTGTCAGAACACCCTTTGTTTGAATGGCCAAATAACATTCCATTGTCTGTGTAAACCACATTTTGATTATCCACTCCGGCCAATGGATATTTGGGCTGTTTCCGTCTTTGGCTATGGTAAATAATGCTGCCCTAAGCATTGGTGTACAGGTATCTGTGTAAGTCCCTGCTTTCAATTCCTTTGGTTATATACGTCGGAATGGAAATGCTGGATCATATGATAATTCTACGTTTAGCCTTTTGAGGAACCAAACTCCTTCCTTTCCATGTTTATTTTCTTTTTGAGGTGAAATTCACATAGCATACAATGAACCATTTTTAAAGTGTATGATTGGGTGGTATTTAATGCATTCACAATGTTGTGTAACCTTCCCCTCTTTTTTTTTTTTTTAAGATTTTATTTATTTATTTGACAGAGAGAGACACAGCTAGAGAGGGAACACAAGCAGGGGGAGTGGGAGAGGGAGAAGTAGACTCCCCGCTGAGCAGGGAGCCCGATGTGGGGCTCGATCCCAGGACCCTGGGATCATGACCTGAGGTGAAGGCAGATGCTTAATGACTGAGCCACCCAGGCGCCTCCCCCCGCTCCTTTTTTTTTAAAGATTTTCCATCACCTCTATCTTGTTGTATTTTTATCACCCCAGAGGAGACTTTGTACACACTAAGAGGTCACTTCCCACTCTTTCTTCCCACAGCCCCTACCCTAGCAACCAAGAGTCTGCCATAAAGGCTGCGTGGTATTTTGTTGCCATGGCAATCCTCATCAACAACTCAACAATCTGCTGGTTCCTTTATCGAGATGTATCATCTATTTTAGATCTGATAGTGATGTACTCAACTGCTGCTCTGTGAGGGGAGAATGGAAGGGACTCTGCCATGCTCAGGAGGAATGCCATCAAGGAAGACCAACCTACTATCTGTGGCCATGGAAGATGTTGACCGTATTTACCAAAAATTGCAGGACTTCCTGTTATTCAGTATTATTCATTCACCAATACATCCATGCTTTTGTTCTTCCAAAGTATATGAGAGATGCCTCCATTAATGCAGACACAGTGTTCATTTAATATCATGACCTAAACTAGTGGTTCTCAACAGGGGGCAATTTTGCCTCCCAGGGGACAATTTGTCAATGCCTGGGGACAGTTTTGGTTGGGACGGGAGGCACTGTTGGCATCTACTGGGTAAAGGCCAGGGATCTTACAATGCACAGGACTTCCCTCCCAACAAAGGATTATCTGCTCCCAAATGTTGATAGGTCCAAGGTTGAGAAACCCTGACCTACACAACCTGGGTAAGACCTTTAAGGGAATGATGATGTGGGAAATGTCAGATACTAATTTTTAAAAATACACAAGTATATAATCGCAGTTCATGACACATGGTCTGCAGTATAGAGATGTAGATCTTGGAGGTCTGATAATAGATGTAAGGGTTCAGCTGACACATGAGGATGAGTAGCAATTGCCTAGGCAGTGTGGACTGGCAGGTTGGGAGCATTGTGGATAGAATGGATGATGGGAGAAGGGTTAATGAAGTACAAAGAAGTGAGGGACAAACTAAAGTAAGTTCAGCATGGGTAAAGAGCAGAGGTTCAGTGGGAGAGTGGAAGATGGGTTGGGGGAGCAGATGCAACCTGGGCAGGCAGCACTTGGGAGAACCGGTTACATCAGTATGTTTATCTGAAGTTTGACCCCTGAGGGGTTTGAGGGAGATAAAGATACCTGTGTTTTAAACACACAAGTAATCCAGGCTACAGTCTTTAGAAGAAGCTGGAGGAGAGAAGACACGGACAAGGCAGGAGTGGAGGTGACAATATACACTCATACTTGAGAGCTACTTGGTGTCCATTACAGAGACTGCTTGAGAGGGTGGGGCTAAGGCAACATCCCATTAGATGTAGCAAAGTGGATAGAGTGGAGAGAATTAGGTTGTGAAAACAAATAGGTCTGACATAGGGACAGATATTGGGTAATCACCAATGGCTCCCAACTTCCTCAGCCCTGCAGTTGTGAACATTCAGTAAAATATGTGTCTTTGATATCAGGGGCAGACAGCCTAATGGAAGAAAACACTAAATCCAGGTCTGAGTACAATGTGTTTGAGGGTTTTGGAGAGAAGAACACAGCAGAGATGGCTGGAATGGGGAATAAAATTGGAATTTGCTTGGGCTTTTGACTGTTCTTCCAACCCTTCTGTACCAAGGTATAAGGTGGCTGGGAGAGAGTTAGTGGAACACTTACCTTCCTGTGCCTGAATCTTCTGGCTCAGACAGAACACTGGAAGAGAGAGATTCATGAGAGATGAGTCTTCCAGTTTCCAGTGTTTGTTTCAAGTCACCCTGCCTAATGACATGAAGGGTGTCCTTTTTTCTTCCACAGCAAGCATAGCTTTGAGGCTCATCTTTTAGTTTTATCTTCTAGATTTCAGGCCCTAAGGCTCTCATCTATAGGAACTCTGGACCCATCATGGATCTCTACACAGCATGACATGGGTTGAACATGTTCCACAGGCTACTTGGATTTGGGAAGACACAGTTATAGATATCTGGGCAAAGGCCAACTCTCCAATATGGAGGTCAGAATCTCCTGATTCCTCATAGTAAGAGGGACACTGACTGTTTTGGGGCTTCGCCACCCTCCCCCCCTTACCCACTTGCATTTAAGAACTCACCGAGACAGAGAAGGATGGTGTCTCTGGGGTCCATGATTCTGATATGGCCTCAGCCCAGTTAGTCTCTTGTTGGTGCACATTTGCAGAATGACAGATCCTCATAAGACAGTTAGATCAGCAGGAAGTATGAGGTCAGAGTCTCTAGTCAGAGAATTTCTCCATCTATTGCCCCACAGGTAATGGTTCCTTCCCAAGAACTTAGTTCTGGATAGCTTTTGGGTTGGGCCTGAGAGGAGACCAATCTTCCTGCTTATGTTTCCTATGAGAAGTGAGTGTTTTCCTCAACTGATGTCTAATGGGGCTCAAATCCTTCTTTAAACCAGAACCCACATCCAAGTGGAAGGGCCTGGGACAGAGTATAAGAGGGTGCCATACAGGCAGAGATTTGTCTTCATTGGACCGTTTAGTCAAAAGCCATGTGTCCTTGCTTGTTATGGACCCATGTATCCTCTCTGGAATTCAGGGACTAAGTATATCCACTTGGTCTTGATCAGGAAGATCACATACTCTTACACTGGGGATTTTCTTTATGCCAGCATGCCAAGGAATTTTCCCAGGAGCTGCTCATCATCTGTAGGGTAAGAAAGTCCTATACCTATACCTATACCCATCTATATATCTAGATACAGATACTGGATAGATGATAGATATTTAGCTGTAGGATGGGATGGGAAGTCAAATATTCCAAATCAAATTCTCTAATACTTACCACCATAATACATATACTCTTGCCTTCCAATACACCAAATGCCTAAAGTCCTGAGCTTCTCCCATCTTTTGGAAGGCACCACCAACAGCTAGATTTTAAAAATAGTGAAAAGGAGTCTTCAAGAGAAGTGACTTTGCCAACGATCCTGCAGTTAAGAAGGAGCAAAACAAAATCTAATTGTTAAACATCCAAAAAATATCCACCTCTGAAGCATGACTTGGACTCTCCAGGGGAGATGCTATGGTTACTTGATCGCTTCACCCTGGGACAAGATGATCATGACAAATATGTTACATTCCAATGATAGATAGGTGGTGGATTTGTCTATTTGCTTGTAGTAACATAGTGACTTACCCTTGAGGGAAGGGTTGACTTGAAAAGACCTGAGGGATCTATTTTGAGAAATGGTGAAAGTTGCTTTTCTTAGTATATTCTGATATGTGAATATTTTATATTGTATGTCAGAGAATATATATATATACATGTATATATACATGTATATATATATAGATAGATATACATATATGTAGTGTTAATATAGCTATAATATATATCTATCACTAATAAAATATGCCTTTGTTATTGTAAAAAATGAGCTTACCTTAGGATACGTCGTATTTTCCAGCCGCTAGTGTTTTGAAATGGTGACCAGCATTGTATCCTAGACAAGGGTTTTTTCAACTTTAGCACTATTGACATTTAGGGCTGGATAATGATTCTCTGCTGCCTGTGTGTGTGGAGGAGTCCATCCTGGACACTGAAGGATGTTGAGCAACATTCCTGGCCTCTGCGTAGTAGATGCCAGTAGCAGCCCCCTCCACAGTCATGACAACTAAAAATGTCTCCAGACGTTGCCATAATGACTCCTGGTGGGCAACGTTGCCCCAGCTGGGAACCAGCGTCCTGTGCTGTCTGCTGGCACATACAGGCTGAGGAACTAGACCTTGTTCTGAGACATGACTGAGCTTCATGCATCCCACAGCATCTCATGTCCCTTCCTTGAGGCATTTAGGTTCTACAGGATGTAGGTCCCACTTAGGGTCACAGGACATAGATCAGTCCAGTGGGAAGGTCTCTAGAGCACATTTCCAGGCACAAATCCTCAAAGTGTTCTTTTAATCTGTTGTTCCCTGAAGTCTCAACAAATTCCTCCCAGAATCAACTCTATCCTAAACACCCTATTTTTTCCTCCCAGCTACTTTGGAGGAACCTCTTGCTTGTCTACCAAGAAGGAAGATATTGTAGTCTGGGGGAACAACTCACCTTCTCATATTCATTCATAACACTCTAAGAGAAGCCACATGGAAACTTAACCTCTCTTCCAAACTGTTGCCTTAACCCTAGCATCCATGCTGAAATCCTGTGTTCAAAAAGCCACATTTAGGCTGGGGTTGCAGAAAACCTCATTTGTCCATGTGATAGCTATGGGTCCACGCCCTGATGTCTGGGGAATTCCAGGTAACTCCACCATGCTTCCTTTTGCAGATCTCAGTAAGATCTAATATGCTTGTTTACCTTCCCTGGTTATTGTATACCTCTGTTGTGCAGAAACCGGGAGCCCCACAGAACTGATCCATGCACTGGGTGCAGTCTGTCAGTCCCTGTCATCACTGTTCAGGTCTCTCTACAAACTGATGACAAGAGAAGAAACTGAAAACTTCCATTCTTAATCATAGCTCTGGTTTTCCCACAATGTGTGCTGAACAAAAATATCTGACTTCTTGGAAATTTTTTGAGCCAAGCCCAAGGCCTCACCTGGTTCCCAAACCCAAGTGTGTCTTAAAGTCCAAATCTGGAACAATCCCCTAAAGCAAGGTGTGACATTTGTTTACAGGGGGTGGTTCAACAGATAGTGGATGGGCTCAAGGGTCTTCTCTTTGGGACCCCATGGTGGTCAATAACCATGCCATGTTGTGTGGCCTTTGACAAGACAATCTCTTTGAATTTCCCTACTTTGCAAAGTGGAGATAACGATGAGCTCTGATAAATTTTACATAAGGACTCATCAAGGAAACATTTGTAAAACACATTTTGTTAAACAAATGGTCAAAGGTGTGAATTCCTGTCATTGCCACACAGACACCTATCATTTTCACTGTTGTTCACTAACAATAATGTTCACTAACTTTGATGCTAATTTTGCATCCAAAAGATTGCTAGACCTATAGTTCTGATGAGTCTCCCAAACTCAGATGTCTTAATTTCTTACACTGTTTTGTTTTTCCAGAATCATTCAGATAGATCCACCTGCTCCTATGGGATCTCCTTGATGGAGCCTTGAGGGCAATCATCTGTACTGAGCTGAGACATGGTGTGGCTGGGGCCCCCTAATGTGCCCTGAAGTGGTAGCTGCAAAGGTGGTGGGAGAGAGTCAGTCCCATGCTGGGGACACCAGCCAGGTGCTCTCTGGCAACCAACCAGAACTTCCAGGTGTCTCACTTGAGGATGTCTGGACCTGCCCCAAAGGCTTCCCAGATTCCAGTAGGAATGGGTAGATCTCTCTGGATGATTCTAGAAGGATGAAAGAATGCAAGAAATTAAGACATTAGAATTTGGGAGACTCAACACAGCTAGATACGTAATTGTGACATAGTCACACAGTGGATTCCTACACAGGAGGGAAAACACTTCTCTTACATGGAAAGATAGGATTAAATTTCAAACATACAATGTTGAATGAAAGGAGTCAGTCACAAAAATACATACTATATGATTCCATGTAGATGAAATTCAACAATAGCTGGGAAGAAAGATGATTGATGATAGATGATAGATTTATTTATTTGTTTATAGTAACATAGCAACACAAGTCAGAACTTACCCTTGAAAAGAAAAGGTGATTTTGTGGACAATATTGGAAATGTCTGTATCATCATAATAGCATCCTAGAATGGATGGGGGGCTTTCTAGGGGGTCCTGAGATATTTATCTCATCTTAGGGTGAGAGGAAGATGAAGACTTCTGCCTTCAGATTCCAGCTGTTGTTAGGAGGGGTTTCAGAAAGAGCTATGGCATCCATGGAGAGCCTCCTCAGGGTCTTCCTGCGTGTGCTCTGGGCATAGAATTCATGCCTTGATTGGTCTCAGCATGTTGCGAATTCCATGTACACACTGTCATCATGCAAAGGTTCCTCGGGCCTCCGGGAAGTGGGAGTGGTTTTTTTCTGCATAAAAATGCAATGATCCAACTGTGTATATATCACCTCCTGTGGGTCTTCTGCTTGAGGGTCCTGCATGATGGGAAATGGTGAGGAGGGTGTGCACACACTTGTGGGGACTAGGAGGAGATGAGATGGCACTGAAGAGAGTGAGCTGAGGACAACCTACCTCCCTGCTCACCATTCTGTCCACCTCAGGCTTTCTGTTCATTATAGCAGCATCTGTAGGGAATAGAAGTCATCAAAAACACTTCAAAGGTTCTCATTTTATAGATACAAATACCAGAGTACAGAGAGGTGCAGCCAATGCCTGGAATTACTGCCAAAAAGTAGAGTCAGAAATTCTACCTCTCTGAAGTTCAGAGACACATCCCATTAATGTCTCCCTTTTCCATTCCATTGATGAGGTTGGGGGCATGGGGGTTCTCTCTAGAAAGCCCTACCTCTGTGGCTCCTGCTTTGAACCAGGAGTCAGCCTGCAAACGGAGGCTCCCCGGCTCCCCCACTCCTCCCAGACAGGCACTGGCCTCTTCTTCCCGAGACTCACTCTCTTTGGCACGGCACCACTGACGAGTGAGGAAGAAAAGAACAGCGAGGAAGATGATGGCCACTAAGGGCCCAGCCAGAACATGCAGGTGTATGGGGTTACCTGTAGGAAGACGTGAATCCAATAGAAGCAAATCACGGCAGGCACCCAGCCTGCTGCCATCTTGGTTCCAGCCCCACGAGACCCATTTCAGATCTATGACCTACAGAACTGTAAGATCATTTAAAAAACTGTGTTTTAATGCACTGAGCTTGTGGAAATTTGTTATAGCAGCAGTAAGAAACGAATACATATGGCATATCCAGCACATGGATGTATATATGCACTGGATCAGTGCTTGAATGAATAAATGAAGGAATCATGTATATGGGGGACAGACTGCGTTCTGAGTTCTCTCCCACTCTACTGAGCACATCAGGGTTGCATCCTGACAGACAAGAGCCCATTTATTGGTAAATGGAACTTCTCTAAGCACTGCCTGTCCCTCATCAGCTTCTCCCTTCCTCCCCCTCCCCACCCCCGCCCCCAAGTCCCCACGAATCTTATCTCCACTTAGGAATGGGGACAGAGTAAGCACAGCATTATTCCTGGCCAGGAGATCAGGTTTATTCTCACCCTCCTCTCTTGGAGGAGGTCTCTGCTGCAGAAAATTAGAAGTTAAGAGTCTTCACCGGCCCCATGCTGACCCAAACCCTTCTGCTGTTGTAGAGTCTGGGGATCAGAGAGGGAAGGTTACAAGATCACAGAGCTGGAAGGTGGCTGAGCCAACCCTCAAACCCAAGGCTTCTCTCTGTCAGGTTTCAGGGGTAAAAGGGATCCTTTACTCACCAGTTTTGGGGGTTGGTTTTGTGGATAGGAGGCAACTATTTGAAGAGTTTCCTAAAAAACAAGCTAGGGGAAGGGGAGGAAGTGGAACTGTCTTCTACCCACTGAAGCTCTTTGTCATCTAACACTGAGCTCCTGGGACCTCTCTGAATCTCTGGGGCCTTGACTCCCTGAGACTTCAAGCTGCAGAGAGGAGATGGGAGAGGTTGATGATGAAAGGGGCCTCTACTTAAGAGGAGGCTTCTCAATCCTGCCGTAAAGACACCTGTACCACCTGGGAGACCACTCTGTAGGCGTGAGGTGAGGAGGGGCTGCTAGGAAGCGGGTAATGGTGACGGGCCAATGCAACCTCTGATCTCCCCAAACTGAGCCCCTTCTCTCCTGCTCCTGGGTCTGCCCTGACCCCTTTCCATCTTCCTGGGGACACAGACCCCCAGTTTGGGTTTCCACACAATCCATGCAGGAGGATGCTGGAAGTGAGTCCTCAGTCTCTCCCTCCCTGTTTTCTTTATCTATGTTTCTGTCTCCCCAGAACTCCTAAGCATCCCCCCAGTACCAGCAGGATGCCCCTCACATATGGCCTTCAAATCTATCCTGAATCACTGGACGCAGAGCACGTTCTGGGCTTCCTTACCTGTGACAGAAAGGTACAGTGGGTCACTCGGGCCTGACCACTCACAGAGAGAGGGGTTGAAAGAGCCATAGCATCTGTAGGTCCCACCCAGGGCTGGGTGTGCAGGGCCCAGAGTGAAGTCAGCCTGGGATGCACCGCCATGCCTCTGCCCCTTAGCGAGCCAGAGCTCATGGGGCTGCCCATCCCTGGATAGATGGTACACATCAAAGGAAATCTCCGAGCAGCAGGACAAGGTCACGTTCTCTCCTGACCTCACCACGGTGCCTGGCTGGGCCCAGAGAGAAGGTTTCTGGTGTAGACCTGGAGGAAGTGGAGGCAGTTCAGTCAGAGAGGCTCTTCCTTGCTCACTGTGTCCTTCACACCTGGACTAAGAATTCTCTCTCCCTGTTCCCAGAGCCCAAGGCCCACTGTGTCCCCTCCTGTCCACCTCTCCTATTGCTTCCTGTCCTTGCCTCCCTCCTGTTCTTTTTTACTTTTGCACTGCCTTACTCTCTCTGCCTCTCCTGGGATCTGTTGGTTTGATCTGCCTTTTCTTTCATTCTGAGTCTCTCATTCTGCCTTGTCACTATCGTTCTGCATTATCTATCTATCATCTATCTATCATCTATCTATCTATCTATCATCATCATCTATCTATCATCTATTATCTATCTGTCTATCATCTATCTATCATCTATCATCTATCTATCATCTATCTCTCTCTATCTCCCTATCTAGCATCTATCTCCATCACCTTGGTTTCTGTGACTTGCTCTGCTTCTCTGTCCCCAGACCTCTTTTGGGATCTCTGTCACCCACCCCCACATCATCATCTTTCTCTTTGTGCCCCACGCTCAGATCTTTTAAGGCTTTTATTTGCCCTCTCCGTCTTTCTCTCTATTTCTCTATTCTTTTTTCTTTCTTTCGTTTTTTGTGTCTCTGAGCCAGTGTCTGTCTGTCTATCCATCTGTCTTTGTCATCCCTCCATTCTGTGTATGTGTGTTCATGTGCACACATGAATTTCTGTGTCTATTCACATAGAAACTTTCTATGTACATTGAATACATCAACTCTGCTTTCTCTCTGATTGCATCTCTCTGTAGGCTTTGACCTCAGTAATCCTGTAAGATCTGGGGTGACCTTCAACATGGGCCTGAGAAACAGCTTTGGGAACCCATGAAACACGCCACATATAGGAGCTGGTATCTGGCTCCTCCACCTGGGACCATGGTTTCCTGGGGCATATTGTGGCTCGGCTATATGGGATGAAGTCATGTCAGAGTGAACGCAGCATCTGTGGATGCCACATGGAGTGAGGACCAGGGCCCATGGGCCATCAGCCTGAGACAGGCCAGCCTGGCCCTGAAGCCTGGTCACATATGTGGTGTGTCTTTGGATTCTCCTGGTAGAGAAGAGGGTGTGGAGATTTATTGGAAACCATGTTCGAAACTGTCCCAGGTCTCTGAACAAACTCAGAGTAGAAGAGCACCCTGTCTCTGATGTGGGTGTACCCGTCTCTATCTGTCCCTTTGCTCTTTATCTCCATTACTGACTCCCTGTTTCTGCCCCCATCTGTCCTTTATAACAAATGGTTTCTACTGTTGCTCTTCTGTCTTTATCTCTCTTGGTGTAGCTCTCACCAAGGCTGTCTCTCTTCATAAAAACCCACGTTCGTCTCCTTCTTCACCACCTGGGGCTTCCAGGTCTTAGAACATCCTGTCTGCATCCCAAAGAGGATGGGGGCATGTCTGGACAGTCTCACCTGTGATCATGATGTCCAGGGGCCCACTGGGGGCAGACCACTCATGGGAGGAGCGATTGAGAGAGCCGAAGCACCTGTAGGTCCCCGCATGGGCAGCTGTCACAGGACCCATGGAGAAGTTAGCATGGGAGCCCCCATGATGGCGCTGACCAGCAAGGTACAAGGTGTCCTTGGATACCCCCTCTCTGTGAAGAATGAAGCTTTCAAACACGATCTCAGAGCAACAATGCAAGGTCACGTTCCTTCCTGATTTCACCAGGGGACCCGGCTGGGCTAACAGAGAAGGTTTTCTGTAGATTCCTAAGAACATGGATGTTGTAAATTTAGAAGGAGCCACCCTGCCTCGCCCGATTCCCTGTCATCTGAAATGAGCGAGGGTGCCCCTGTGTCTGTCTGTCTCCTTCTTCTGTGTCCTTTTCTGTCTGAATGTCCCCATCGGTCTCTGCCCCTCCTCTGCTGTGTGTCTCTGTGTCTAGCATCAGCGCCAGACTCCATTCCCACTGCACTCATCCTTGGCACTGTCTGTGCTGCACCTGTCTCCCACAGAGTCCTTTTCTGCTTCCTCTGGTGGGGGTGGGAGAGTTGGCACTGCGGGCTGTGTTTCCAGGTTCTCTTATTGACCAATTCCTGCCCTGTGTGACAAATTGGAATCCCTGGTAGGAGGTGGGAATTAAGCAGTAAGGCAGGTACCACAGTAACTTCCAGTGTCCACCCAGCCTGTGACTTGTGGGGAGGGGCACATCTGCTGTGTCTGTGCCTTCTCCATGGTCCCAGCTTCCACAGGACACCGCTGAGGTGGCTCCGGGAACACCACCCCCTCCCTGTCACTGCAGTCTAGTGGTGGCGTCAACATCCCGCTCTTACCTATTGCTGGGTACAGTCTCGCTTCCTCTGTTTCATTTCCTAACTTGTCCTTCACCTGGGTGTCTGTATTGATTACCTAGCTGTTGTGATAAATTGCTCCTAACATGACGGCTGAAAGAACACAAATTTGTCACTTTACAGTTCTGGATGTCAGAAGTCCAACGTGGGTCTTACGGGCCAGGGCCAAGGAAGGGGTTGACAGGACTGCATTCCTTCCGGAGCCTCAAGGGGACAATTCATGCCTGTGCCTTTTCCCGCTCCTGGGGGCCGCCTGTATTGTTTGTCTTGTGCCTCCTTCCTCCATCATCAGAACTAGCAGTGGCTGGTGGAGTCTTTCTCATGCTGCATGACTCTGAAGCTCATTCTCCTGCTTCCTTCTACCCTTGTAATTGCAGTAAACCCACCTGGATAATCCAGGATAATCTCCCCATGTCAGGGTCACCTGCTTAATAACCTTAATTCCACATTCAACCTTAATTGTCCTGGGACTATTCATAGACTTGGAGTATTATGATATAGACATCATTGGGGGTCGTTATTCTGCCCACCTGCATGAAATGCCCTTTTATGTAAAGTACTTGGGGCAGCTCCTATTGTTCTAATTGGACCGGACTGACACTCCCACCAGGAAACTCTGACTTTAAGATTGGGACAGTGAATAGCCCCTCTAGACAAGTGTTCTCTGACCTGTGACCACAATCACCAGGGGGTCACTGGGTGCTGACCACACAGAGGAGGAGCCAAGATAGGATCCACAACATCTGTAAGTCCCCGCATGTGCTGGGGTTACAGGGCCAATGAGGAAGCTGTTCTGCAATATTGTGCTGTGGAGCTTGGAGACGAAGATGCCGTTGTTCTTGTACAGTCTGAATGTGTCAAACTTGTGATGGGAGTGACACCGAAGAGTCACATGCTGTCCTTGAGGAACCATGGGGCTTGGCCAGGCAGATAGGGAGGGCTTGTCCTGACCACCTGGGAGAGGAGGAGGCACAGCATTGGTCTCCCCTCCCCTGGCTCAGAGCCTCCCCTTCTTCCCAGGTCTCTAAGCCTCCTTTCCAAACCCGGGGTGCCCACACCACACAAAGACTCCCCACACCACACAGACATGGCATCTCCTACAACAAACATGTCGGCTGAGAGCTCTGAGTGAGTACTGAACAGTGGGCTCTTACTAGGTGTTGATAATGTAAGTTGTTATGTAAAAGAAGACAAAGTAGACACTGAACAGGAGAGTAATGACTTATGTGTATGCCATAACTTCAGCAAACACATGAAGCACGTTACATGACAGAGCTGCGTCAGAATGTGCTGGAATTCCAGGGGTCCTGGCATGAGGATCACCCACCTCCGCTGTAGAACATCAGTGGCAGCATCCTGGGGCTCCTACCCTCATGGGTGTGCTGGGGAACTTGAGTGGTTGTCCCGACCTCAGACAGTCTGTTGTTCCCGACACAGCTTGCATCCCCTGATCTACAGACAGCACCAGTTCCTCCCAGACACCCTAGCTCTGAGCAGCAGTGTCCTCCAGATGACTTTAGAGCCTGTCTCAGCCAAGGGGAAGGAGGTCTAAGGAGGGTCTCTGGACCAGAATTGGGGCTAGGGTTTCCCTGGGCCCCCACTTTCTAGTTCACAAGAGACTCACCCACAAAGCCTCCCACAGTCAACCCATCACCCAACCTCCTGTGCCATCTGCCTTCTTGTTATAGGAATTCTCTTATTCTGAGTAGATGCAGCCCAGGGTTTGGGGAAAGGACTCACCCACTTGTGCCCAGATCCTCTGGATGAGGAACACTGGAAAGAAAGACTCATGATGGATGGCCCATCTTCATAGAAGACTTGCCTCCCCCACTCCTTCCCGCACCTGGCCTGAGCTTCACCATCAAGGTCTGCTTTACCCCCATGGAATGTTCTGCTGTGGGGAGACCCAACCTTCCAGGCCAATATTTCCACCATGTATTCCCTCCCTTCATCCCCTTCTGGGACTCACCCAGACTTGTGAGGCTGATGACCATAGGTGACATGGCACTGCTTCTGCTGAACAGAGTTGACAAGTACACAGGATGTCGTGAAATGGGGCCCAGCTCACATTCATAAGATGACCGCAGTAAGGGAAGGTGACGCATAGAGGCTCTTTTTACTCTGCATATAGGTGGGTGTGGGGGCTCAGCTGAGGCTAAAATCAAGCTTCCTGGAAATTGTTTAGACTGTAACTGTTGTGTTGCATTCATTTACTGTGGTCAGACTTAACCAATTGAGCCACCCAGGCGCCCTACTGTGGTCAGACTTGAACACATCTCAGACACAATCCCTCATACTCAGAAAGATGAAATGATAGTAGTTTTTCTTTTAATCCAAGCCTCAAAATCTTCATATGTAATATGCAACATATCTAGTAGATACTATTATAAAAATAATTAGAAAGTATAAATCAAAATTATTTTCTAAGCTGATATTTCTAGTATTGAGTAAATACTTGTTAAAAATCAGGGGCGCCTGGGTGGCTCAGATGGTTAAGCGTCTGCCTTCGGCTCAGGTCATGATCCCAGGGTCCTGGGATCGAGTCCCGCATCGGGCTCTCTGCTTCTTGGGAGCCTGCTTCTCCCTCTGCCTCTCTCTCTCTGTCTCTCATGAATAAATAAATAAAAAATCTTTAAAAAAAAAAAAATTATTTAATTTCCCTGTGGAAGGATTATGCAGTTATTTAGAATCATAGAATTTCATCTTATTAGCAAAGAACAATGCATGTATGGATCTTATGGTTTTACCTGAAATTCATCTTACGACCCAGGAATTCAAACTCAAAATTTATCTGTCTGTGTCTATCTGTATATATCTATATATCGCAATTTTATATAAATATAAATATCCATTAATATAATGCTATAGGAAATTCACTTTTTTTAATAAAAATTTTTTTAAAGATTTTATTTATTTATTTGAGAGAGAGAGAGAGAATGAGAGACAGAGAGCATGAGAGGGAGGAGGGTCAGAGGGAGAAGCAGACTCCCCGCTGAGCAGGGAGTCCGATGCGGGACTCGATCCCGGGACTCCAGGATCATGACCTGAGCCGAAGGCAGTCTCTTAACCAACTGAGCCACCCAGGCGCCCGGAAATTCACTTTCTAACAGCCAATTAAGAATATCAAAAAACTCACCCCAAAACATTTTATGAAGAAAAACCCAAAATAGTAACACCTTCCAACTTAAAACAAGAAGATGGCAATGACCACGTAACATAATCTACCTACATATTTTGCCCTTATCCCATCTCCTTCTTTAACCCCACGTCTTGAAATTTGTAGGAAATTTTCCACTATGCATTATAAATACAGTTTTAAAGTGCTTATCTCTCCTTGTAAAATATGTAATTGTAATAAATATAAAATATATGTTTGTACACACATACATACATGTATGCACCCACATATACAGTTGTTTCAGATTTTTAAAATTATCAGCTTTTGCATCTTTTTTATTATGTTCAGTTAGCCAACATATAGTACATCATTAGTTTTTTTAATTTAATTTAATTTTATTATGTTAGTCATCATACAATACATCATTAGTTTTTGATGTAGTGATCCATGACATCATTAGTTTTTGATATAGTGTTCAACGATTCATTAGTTGTGTATAACACCCACTGCTCATCACAACATGTGCCCTCTTTTTTGTACTTCAACTTATATTGCTATGATACACACATATCAATTTTTTATAGTTCCATTTCATTGTTTTGGACTGCAGTATAATATTTCTTGCATGAGTATATCAACATGTATTTATCTGTTCTCATTATTATAGATATCTGGCTAACATGAGTATCTGGACAATATGGGTGGTACAGATATTTTAACAATGGTATTCTTCTAACCCATAAACATGGGACATCTTTCCATTTGTTTGTGTCTTCTTCATTTTCTATCATCAAAGTCTTATAATTTTCAGAGTATAGCTTTTACTAAAGTCTTTGGTTAAATTTATTCCCAAATATGTTATTATCTTGACGTTATTGTAAATAAAATATTTTTCTTTTTGCCCCCCACATCAACATAGCTTTTATTGTATCTTTAAAATATCACAAACAAGTCTGAAAAATCATCCGGCATCTACCTGTTTCTGTAGCTGGACAACTTAGATCTTGTTCGTCAGCCTGCTGAAGTGTTCCTTTTTCAGAAACATAGATACCATCCAAAATTTTTTTGGTAATACTTATTTTTTTGTTTATTTTTAACTGTTGTGGCTTGCTGAATCAAAGCAGCTGAATTTGATACAAGTTCAATGTCATTTCCTTCAAGAATTAACTCATCTTTCTGGGCTTGAGATACTGAACAAGCAACACCTGGCCTCACCCAAACCCTGCGGATATATTTTTCACCCAAGAAATTTTGGATTTTGATAGGAAAACGATTCTCCTGAATAGCAACATTGACGGGGGAAGTGAGCATACAGCTACCTAATCTTGTTATAGAAGTCCCTTTAATTTCCTTGACCATGTTCTGTATGTGACTACAGATAGTGCAAACAGTAGCCAGTTCTTTTCTATTTCCCCACCATCTGTCAACTGAGCCTCTTCTTTTTCTTTCCTGGGAGACTGAGTTCTACACTGATATACTGAGTCCCTCCACAGGGTTCCTCTGGGGCCCTTCACAATAACAGTGTATCCCTTCAGAGTGATGTCGACATTTTCTGGAATGTCAATAGTCTGATTACTGAGAATGGTCTTCATTCTCACAGTAGATGAGCCGAAATTGTTTTCTTTATTTCTTTTTCAAATATTGTGTCATTGGTGTATAGAAATGGACCTGTTTTCTGTATGTTGACTTTTTATCCTGCAAATTTGCTGAGTTTGTAGATTAGTTCTAAAGATGTTTGGTGGAGTCTTTAAGATTTTCTCTATATAACAGCATATAATCTGCAAACCAAGACCATTTTACTTCTTTCTTTGTGATCTGGATGTCTTTTTATTTCTTTTTCTTGTCTGATTGCTGTGGCCAGGACTTCCAGTACCATGTTGAATAGGAGTGGTGAGAGTGGACATCCTCATCTTGTTCCTGATCTTAGAGGAAAAGCTTTCAGGTATTTGCTATTGAGTATGATGCTAACTGTGCGTTTGTCATAGATAGCCTTTATTGTGTTCCTTCTATACCCAATTTGTTGAGAGTTTTTATCATGAAAGGATGTTGTGTTTTTTCAAACGCATTTTTCTGCATCTATTGAGATGATTATGTGATTTTTATCATTCATTTTATTAATATGATGTTTCACATTTGTTGATTGTGTATGTTGAACCATCCTCGTGTCCCATGGATAAATCCCACTTGATCACGGTGCATGATCCTTTTGATGTGTCATTGAATTTGGATGGCTAATATTGTGTTCAGAATTTTTGCACCTATAATTCATCAGGAATAGTGGTCTGTGATTTTATTTTCTTGCATTGTGCTTATCTGGCTTTGATATCAGGGTAGTGCTCATCTCATAAAATTAGCTTAGGAGTTCCTTCCTTTTCAGTTATTTGGAAGGGTTGGAGAAGAATCAGCATTAATTTTTCTTTAAATGTGTGGTAGAATTCTCCAGGGAAACCATCTTGTCCTGGTCTTTGGGACAGGTGTGCTGGGAGGTTTGTGGTTCTGATTCAATCTCCTTAGTCATTATTAGTCTGTTCAGATTTTCTATTTCTTCCTGATTTAGTCTTGATAGATTGTATGTCTACAATAAGTTATCCATTTTTTCCAGATTGTCTGGTTTGTTGGTGTTTAACTGTTCATAGCAGTCTCTTACGATCCTAGGCATTTCTGTGGTATCAGTTGTAACATCTCCTCTTTCATTTCTGGTTTTACTTATTTGTGTCCTCTCATTTTTTTCTGAGATGGTCTAGCTAAAGTTTTGTCAGTTTTGTTTATCTTTTGAGAAACTTTCCTTCTGCCAACTTTGGGAAGTCTTTCTCCTGCAGGTGGGGGCACACTGGCTCTTGACCCTGGGGCTAGTGGTGCACAGTGCCAAGTGCAGGGGTGTGTGATGTCACTAGATCCAGGGGGATGTCATGTGTCCTTTTTGGCTCACAGTACGTGGGTCCACAGCATCCACACCAGCGTGGTCCTTGGCGAGCACTGTAGGGGATCTAGAGGCTACAAGGGCTGGTGTGATCATAAGCAGTGCCTCCAGGCCCAGTAGCTAGGGACCAGGGAAGGCAGCAGGGGTGGCTGGAGCTGGTGGCGTGCACACACTCAGCTGCAGAGACTCTGGCTGTATGTACATTCTTCCCCTGGGCATGCACACTGCAGGGAAGCCAGTGACAGGGTTGGGCTTGGGTATGCAAGTACACAGCTAGAGGGGTTAGCCACAGGCAGGCACAGTGGTGTTGGCCAGTGACAGAGGCAGGGCCTGATCCAGGTCTGCCAGCAGCTGTATGGGCCCTGGCTGTCAGTGTGCTCTCTCGACAGGTATGCATACTGCAGTGCAGCTTGGTGATAGGAGTTAGACCCGTGACATGCAGGTGCACAGCTGGAGGGGCTAACCCTGATTGTGGGCATGGTGGTGGGGTTAGCTAGGGAGGCCCTGGCTGGTGTCTTGTTCTCACACAGCTACGGATGCCTGAGTTGGCTGCTAGTGTGGCTCCTGGGCACCGGTGGGGGTGGGGAGGGACTCTGGAGGCTGGCATCAGTGAATGCGAACACCCGTAGGGTGAAAGCTGGCAAGACCAGCTTATACACACATCTTGCATTGCATTGAATGAAAGCTTGCATTCATCGGTGGTGCAATCTGCTGAGTTTTCTGCAGACCTGGCCTCTGTGAACCAGGATTGCTATTAACATAGCCTCTGCTTTTCTTCCTTGCTCCTAGCTGGCTCAGAGCTCTCAGCCTTGCCAGTCTGGAGCGGGGGTCACATCCAAGTGGGAACTATGCACAGTACCCCAGAGGTGGGAGAAGCTGGCCAGTCAGCCTCTCCCACCTTCCCTGGAGAAAGAGCTCTTTCGGGCTGGGCAGGAGCCCTGGCACTGCATAATGCTGGCCCAAGGGATGGGCAGATGCTAGCAAATGACGGTGTCTTCCTTCCTTTCTTGTGAGACTAGTCTCAGTCTTTCTGTCTCCCAGAGCTGTTTTTGTTCATGGATAGCTATCCAATCCTCCATCTTTGTCAGGAGACGGGGACGCTGGGCTCTCCTACCTCACCATTTTCCCGCCATCTCCCGCAATCCCAAGGCATTCATTGTGGAAATGTGGATGAGATTGGTAATGTCCTCCTGAGGTTTATGTGAGAACTAAATTATCTGTTGCACTTCAAACAAAATTGCATGTCACCTTGTTATCTGAAGGGTATGGAACAGCTTGTAGAGAATTGTCTATGGGGCTACTGTGAGACTCAGCAGCACTGTGACCCAGGTGTGGTCCCTACAGTACTTGAAGTCACAGGGGGTAGATGGGCTTCATATGGAGGCACAGGCCCCTGTCCAGCCTGAGGACAAAGCACAGAGTGGAAGAGTGGTTCATGGTGCCCCCTGACCTGGCATCTCCACCCCCCAGAGGCACTTTTTGTTGGGGGCATTTGCAACACCCACAGTCATTGCTTGGGGCTTGCTGTCTTATTCTGGGATCTCATAGAGCCTATTTATCCTGGAGCTCAGAACATCCCTCTTTCTGCAAGCGTGGAGGGTCGTATGCTCATTGCCATGGAAATGGGCTAGCATATCTAGGACCCTGGTGCATGGTGAGCCCTGGAGGAAATGGGGGTCCTTCTTCAAGGGCCCCACTTTTTTCTCTCTGCAGGGAGCTGGAAAATACCAGGATCATTAAAATGGAAGGAGGCACATGTGCACGTTGGGGTCACCAGTGAGGTGCATTCACAGGGGGATCACACTCACTTCTGAATAACGCTGTATCCATGACTCCCACCTGGGCACACGGTGCATTCACATGGCATCTTGAAATAGGCAAATGCCATGAATCAAAACTTTTTTAAAAAACCATTATATCTTGGAGTCAGTGTAGTAGCTCACCACCAGGCTTCACTTCAACACCCCTGAGCTCCCTCAAAGTGATGGTATTTCTGGAAAACTCTACCAGATGTCATCAGATGAGGAGAGAAGACCTCCACGATTCCAGAGAGGGTTTAGGGCAAGGGTTTGGATTCATGTGTTCCAAAGTGGACCTGATTTTCACGCATCTATTTACTTACGAAAACAGATTTTGTGTTTTGGGCTGAAGGGATGGAGGTGCACATCAGGGAATGAGGAAATGGCAAGTAAAGGAAAATGTATCCCATGAAAGTGGACCAGAGCTGCTGCTGTAGGAAGGTATGAACCCAACCCTGCCGTGTGGGACGAACCCTCAAGTCACAGGGATGAGGAAAGACGGGGGGCAGTCAAGGATGTCCAACAATGGCAGGAGGGAAAGCACCACAGTTCATGGGGGACGAGTCCTGGACTGAGAACAGCCCAGACATTTCCTGGCATCTAAACCATGTTTCCCCTGGATGTTCTCAGCAGGCAGATCAGCCAGCATGAGCTGCAGGCTTTCTTCCAGACCCCCTTGGGCAGATTAGATTGATGTCCAAAGGTCTGCCAGAGGGAATGGTGGGTTGGCTCCCCCTTGTGTTTAGCTCCTGGCTGCACCTGGGGTCCTTGCCTGGCTGTGCTGAGCCTCGAGTAGCAGAATCCCGAGGACCACCAGGATCAAGGCAGCCACGCCCATTCGGATCAGATTCTCCACCGTGTAATCCCTGCAATCTGAGGCTAAGAATGAGGACAGAGAGGGTGCAGAGGTCAGTATGGACCCAAATGAGCCCGGATGCTGGATGTCGACCCAGGGCACCCGCCTCCCCCTGACAGGACACCCCCTCCATCCCAGCCCCATCACTGAGACATTCTTCTACTTACCACTGCTGGGGTCTGAATTGTTTTGGGGTGGGCTCACGGTGTCAGCTGTTCCTGCAGGGAAGATGGAAGCAGATGGAAGGAGCTGGAGACCCCCGTCCAGCCTGCCCTCTGCTCTGTGTTCTATATCCCTCAACCTGTCACTATGTAGTTTTTGTACAGTTCCTGAACTAACCCTTCTCTGCACTAGCAGGGGTTCCTCTGCTCTCCTCACTGGATTCCTTCAGCCTCCTTGTTTTCCTTGATTTCAGACTTGACTTCTGAGTCATTCTGGGTAGATTCTGACTGTGCCCCAGGAGCTCAGGATTGCAGAGAAAAATGGGCTCCCCACACAGAAATCATCATGTCCTTGTATGTTCTCTGTTCAGTCTGGGACACAAACCTCCTGTGCTCATGTCCCTGCAGATGAGAGTTCCCACTCATTCAGTAGCTGAGGACCCAGCGTCCATGGACGAGGGGATGTGTCAGGAGCACAGAGGGGCCAATGTCTGGGGCAGGGTCCCCTTCGCTCCATATCAACCAGCTCCCATTCTTCAGGGTCTGCATTTTAATCTGTACCTAGAGTATTCATCCTTGGATATGTTCATTAATTCATTCTTCATATAGTTAGAAATATCTGCACTGGTAGATACATAGATGATAGATGATAGCTAGATAAATAGATAGATAGATAGATAGATAGATAGATAGATAGATAGATAGATCGATCTGTATACACACATCTACATCTAACACATTAATATGTATCTCCTAAAGATGTTCAGTCATTGGGTCATATGAACATCATTATTCCTTGCTTGCAGTGTGGATCTAGACAGGAAGACCAGTTACAAACATGTGAAAAGCTATGGGATGAAGATTATGGGCATGAGGATGAATGGCTTCAGATAGATATACATGGATTACACATATATGTGCTTTACACTCATAGATTATATGTATGGATTTTTATAACCATGTCTATTTGTATAATAGCAGATATAATATAAATACATAATCAAGTGTATATGTATGGATATCTATCTACATCTTCCTGTGTAGAGAGAGAGACAGACGCAGAGAGAGGTACAGTCTGTCTGTTCCTCAACAGGAGGGCACTCGAGTCTGTGGCGTGTGGGGGTGGGCAGGGGACAGGAGGGTCTGGACTCAGGCTTTGGGGAATTGGAGGCAGGTCAGGGACATGTGCCCAGGAGGAGTCTCCATCCTCATCTCACTGTTTGGGGACAAACTCTAGAAATCAGGTGAGGTTTCAAGTAGGGATAGTTAATCGTTTTATTTGCACTGAAAAGACAACCTCTGTCCCCACTATATCACAGGCCAGACCTGAGGAAGTCCCTACGTGTGGATTTCAAACCTCCAGGAAAGGAGAGAGTCGGTGGAATTTACTATGGAGGGAACACACAAACTAGGAAATCATTAACATCTCAACCTAGTCTTCAGATGAAAAGAAAATAGTAAAAAAAAAAAGGAAAAACAAAATATGGACCAATCCTAATTATCAAGATTCATACAAATGGTCAAGGTAATATTAGCTTATACAATTCAGAAAATACTAGTGAACAGTAAACGTTATGCAGTTGGGTTAACACCCAAATGTTTGAAACCAGGAAGCCTTTGTAAAGAGCCTCATGTGGCTAAAAATCAAAGAGAAAACATAGTTGTTCAGGAGACGTACATCTTTCAGGAAAAGATCACATTTTTAATGAAACCCTAATAAAGCAGGAAAATGGATTGAAACGGATAGGTCAGCGGTGCTTTCAAAATAAAAATAGATTTTTAATGAACTTGCTTTAAAATAAATTTGGGGTATAAATCAAGCTGTTTCCCTGACGTGAATCTTGTGACCATTTTCCCCGTCCTTTGAAATGAGAAACACAGGTGTGCATTTTGGAAACGAGAAAGTGAAATTTCCATGTGTAATTTCGAGCAGCGCATTGAGAAATAGTTGAAAGGAAAAGAGTGTAGTGAGTTCACAGCACATAAAAATATGCCCACACCCATAGCTCTCTCAGGCGTAGGGAACTATTATTCGGACAACTGACATATATGGTATTAAAGTAGCTAAGAAGTTCATAGAACAGGCTGCGAACTGACACCACTTCTACGGAAAACGTTGAAAGGCTGTGAAGTTCATGCAAGTGATGAATCGCTGACTTCTACGCAGGAAATAAGTAAATAAATGGGACTCGTTGAAAATGTGCTAAGACTCGGTAGTGCCCAGAAGTTCTTCCCCACAAGGAATGTGTGAATCGGATGTGACCCGATGCACACAGAAGGATGACTTGTTTCTGAGGCTGCATCCCTGTCACCTGAGTTCCCTTTGTCACCATTATCTGCAGGTGCTGCTCTAGAAGGTGTGAGAAGCAGGCGCAGGGACCTGGACAAGCGTCCACACCCAATGCCCAGGGGACACCAGCTGCATGTGGGCACACGGTGCAGCGTCCCTGGGGACTCCCGTGAGCCGGGCACGGCCCCTCCTCAATCTCAGGTGTGCACTGAGGGGCATGGAGGCCCCCAGGTGAGCACAGGGGGCAGCAGAGTGGCGCCTGCAGGCGGGGAGGCTTCTCTCTAGGAGAGTGTCCCGTGGGGCTGACACCACGGCTCCGATTCTGATATGGAGGGGACAGGTGAGTGGGAGGCCTCTGTCTACTCACGATCGTCCTCACTCCCCCACCCCTCATGCAGCCCCCTACTCCTTACCTCTGCTGGGACTGCAGCATAGGGCAGCCCCGGTGGGTCTTTCCAGTCTCCCCTGGGATGGACCCTCCTCCGTGGAGCCCCCGTGACGCCCACATTTGCTACTGTGTCAGGCTTTCCTGAAACGTGCATCTTGAGCTGACAGAGCTCATAAAGGTCAGGTTCAGGGGCCCCTCACCTGAGACCAGGAGCTCCAGGGGGTCACTGGGCTGGGACAACAGGTAGGGGGAGGCGCTGGATGAGCCGTAGCACCTGTAGGTCCCCCCGTGGGCTGAGGTCACAGGACTCATGGAGAATTCAGCCTGGTGCTGCCCAGCTCGGTGCTTTGATCTAAGACGCAGGGGGGGATCGGCTGCCCCCTCCTTGGACAGAAGGAAAGTGTCCTCAGAGCTCCATGACTGACACAGCAGGGTCACATTCTCTCCTGAGGTCACCGTGGGTCCCGGCTGCACTGAGAGGGAGGGTGTGTAGGGGAGCTGTCCTAGAGAGAGGAAGGGCAGGTGAGGGGCTGTCCAGCCCTTGCTCTGAACTGAGACTGTCTGTGTCCTCTGAGTCTCTCCCTTCCCCGGCCCTGTCTCTCTCCCTCCCTGGGGACCCCACACCCCTGGTCCCACCACCACCACCTGGGCCCCCCTGGCAGGACCTGTGCAGAGTCTGGGGTCCTGACTGACCCCGTCACATCTCACCTGCGACCAGGATGTCCAGGAGGTCACTGGGGGCCGACCACTCGGAGGAGAGCTTGCGTCCACCATAGCATGCGTACCGGCCCCCGTGGGAGGGTCTCACAGGGCCCAGGTAGAAGTCTGCCCCAGAGAGCCCAGCCTGGGGCTGTCGGCCAAGAAGCTGGGGAGGGTCCCGTGCGCCCTCCTTGGACAGAACGAATCTGTCGTAGCCGACATCAGAGCGACACTGGAGGGTCAGGTTCTGTCCAGAGGTCACGACAGGGCCCTGCTGGGTCAGGAGGGAGGGCTTCCCCAATGCACCTGGGAGAGACCAGCCGTGGATTGCAGGGGCTGATGCTCCCCAAACCTCCCTTCTCCCATCCTGACCCCCGTCTCACTGTCCATCACCCTCTGTGACTCTGACCTGTGAGCCCCTGTTGTCCCCTCACCCCACCCTCTCATCTGGGGCTCCCCTGGGAGCGGAGCCCCCATAACCTGTCTGGTGCCTCAAAACAGGGATGGGGCAACAATCAGACTCCCTCACCTGAGACCAGCAGCTTCAGGGGGTCACTGGGGTACGACCACACCTGAGGGTTGTTGTTGTAATAACCATAGCATCTGAACGTCCACCTGGGGCTGGGGGTCACGGGGCCCACAGGGAACAGGGCCTGGAACCCCCCACTGGGGGCTCGCTGGGAGTCCAGGGTCCAGGAGGTCTGGTGTTCTCCTTCCCTCATCAGGACGAACCTGTTGAGTCCCAACCATGAGCCACACTGGAAGGTCACGTACCCTCCTGAGGTCACGACAGGGCTGGGCAGGGCTGAGAGGCTGGGTTTGCCATGCCATCCTAGGAGAGGAGGAGGGGACGGTGTTAAATGGGGCTCAGATCCCCCACATTATCCCCAGGGCTGGGCTGTGAGAGGGAGACACCCTGAGAGCAGACCCCCTTCTTGAGGGCACAGCCTGGGACTGGGACCCTGAGTGGGCTCGCACCTGTCACCACCAGCTCCAGGGGGTCACTGGGCTCTGACCAGCCAGTGGGACTGCGATAGTTACAGAGATATCGTCCTGCAACTACATCTGTCATGTGTTTGATGGAGAACTTGGCCTTGTCCTTGCGCTCCAGTGGCTTCTGACTGTCCCAGGTCACCGAGTTTCCCTCTTTTTGCAGGAGGTACTCCTGGGCCTCCAGGCTCCCCTGACACCAGATGGTCACAGGAGTCCCCCGGGGGATCACAGAGCCTGGCTCAGCCCAGATGGTGGGTTTGGGGAGGGTCCCTGGAAGGAAACGGAGGCTGGGACACAAGACCTTCCCCACCCCCAGGTCCCAGCTCTGCCCCAAACCCCCAGACATCCCCCTCTGTCAGCCCGGAACTGCTGTTCTCCATCCCCTCTGCCTGGTGGGTGACCCCTGTCCCCAGTGAAGAGGTGGGACTGGGACCCCTGGGGACAGACTCACCTGCCTGCGCTCGGGTCCTGGGGCCCACACTCAGCCCTGGAAGAGAGTTCCTGTGAGAGGTTTGCCCCGAATCCTGAGCAGAACCCCTCCTCCTGTGAGCCACCTGAGTCTGGGGTCTCTGACAGACCAGGGCCTGGCTGTGGGGCGGGTCCCTCCCAGAATAGGGCGTCCTCTCCCCTCCTCAGATCTCACCAAGACAGAGCAGGGCCGTCAGGGTGGGGGTCATGGCGTCTGCTCTCTCTGGTTCCGGCTGTGCAGAAGGAGGGAGCAAGGCGCCCACAGGACGGACAGACATACAGGGTGTGGCCACGCGGAGGCCGGTCCTGTCCGTCACGGGGTTGTCACGTCAGCAGCCCCACAGGAAGGAGAACGGCCCCTCCCCAGGACCTAGCCTGGCTCTGGTGTCCATGATGGTGCAGCAAGTGGACCCCGAGGCTTCCTGAGATGCCCCATCCAGGTGAGGAGACCAGGCATGTCCTTCCCTCCCAGAGCCTCCCCCATGGGTCTCCTTCATCCTCAGCACATCCCTGGGGTCCTCACCGTGGACGGGGTCCCCAGGCCCAGAGATGCTGCAGGGGGTGGGGGTTCCTGATGTGTTGGGGAGCTCATGTCAGCACAGACACACGTGTGACATCTCTGCTCGGCTCAGGTCGAGGTCATGGTGGCAATGGCCCCAGAGGAGAAATATAGGCAAATAGGGAAGGAAACACAGCTCCTCTCCTGGCTCTGGAGCGTGGGCTTTCTTTTGTCACAGCCTCCATGAGGCTTTCTATCACTTCTCTATTTTCTTGTGACACCGTCCACACCCCAGTCATGGGAACACGCCTGTGTGAGTCCCTCCTGTCTCCTCGGTGCCCCTTGTTCCAGGGGCAGAGCCGTCCTCCCCACATTGGGGTCTTGCCAGTAAGCTGTAGGGGACAATACATGGGTGAGTGCTGTGATATGGGAGACAAAGCTGATTCTAATGTAAATACTACTCCAGCATCCACTGCCCGGGTGACCTTGAGCACAGTGACCTATCCTATAGCATGCTATCCTGAACCCCATTCCTCAAAGTGGTTGTGGGGTCAGTGGGACCTGGAACATGGGTGGGATCAATCTTGTTAGTTTCCCGACCTGATTAAGAGTGGTGTGGTTGAGACACCAGAGGCCATGTGTCAGATCCCACAGTGAGGGTGGACCAGTGATGCACATGTCCTCGAGAGACCCCATGTGCTCTTAACCCTGAGAAATGCTATTTATATTATTTCTGAAATTGTTGGCAACAGCCTATTGCAGGAAAGAAAACAAAAATTCCTGGAATTGAGAGGAACTACAATAGAACAGAGGCCGAAGCTGAGTGACCACCAGCGCCTGGGGTCAAGTTGGGGGTGTTCAAATTTGATTTCAGCCTCTGTGCGGTCAGGCGGGTGGCCAGATCCTCACAGGCAGGAAATGCATACAGTTTCTGGGTGACTGTGGAAGTGACATGACCCCTCCACCATTGCAGGGTGGGCACTGGCATGCCTCTGCCCACTGACCCAGCCCGGAGGTCAGCACTGAGCCATGTCCCCTTTGTGTGTGTGTAGTGGTTATGTCCAGTGGACCCCCGCACTGGCATCTGTCCATGTGAGAGTGTGTGGCTCCCATGGGAGCCATACCTGCTGGACACATCCCTGCTCAGATGCTGATTTGGGAGAGTGGACGCCAGAGGTCAGTGGGGCTGTGAACATCCACCCCTTTCAGTCCAGGCTTCAGGACAGCCCTGTGAGCTACTGTGTCTGGAACTCAGGTGTGTGGGCGGTGAGTGTCCAACAGGAATGGACATCAGAGGCTGATCCCAATGTGATAAGGAGTGCTATGGAAGACTGTGTGCAGAGTCATCAATGATAGCCCAGGATGTGGAACAGCAGGAATATGGGAAACTCATTTTACAGTAAGCACGTGAAATATCTGAAAAGTGGAAAAGAACATGGAATGTTCGATGCCATGACAGAAGTTATATTATGGAAGAAGATAAAAATCTAGAAATGAATTAGTCAAATACTCTGGAGGTAAAAAAGGAAAAACTTAGCGAACGTAAGTACTATATACTGGATAACTGAACATAATAAAAAATATAAATAAATAAATACTTGATATAACAGATGCAACTACTTGTTCCATCCATGATAAGACACAGCCGAAGAGCAGAACATGAAATTGGAAGACAACGCTGAGGACGCTTTGTTGGATGCAAAACAGACAGACTGAAATGAGAGCATGCAGATACCCAGGGAACATGGAGGCCAGTGGGTTCTGTGAGTTCTGGAAGGAGAGCAGTGAGAAGGGTGACAGGCAATAGTCCCAGTGGCCAATAGCCAGGTGTTTTACAGAGGCGGAGACAGAACAGGCAGGTGCTGGTATGCTCAGATGTGTCCATGAAATCTGTGTCTCCATATCTCATGGTGGAGTGAAGGAAGTTGATGGGAGCTTACTTTTGAGCAGAAGAAAAATGCAGAGAGATTTGGGGAAAACACCTGTAAGGAATGATGAGTGAGGAATGCTTTACTCACCCATGGGATCGTGAAGGGAAAAAGGTGAAAGGGTCAGCAGAGCACACATCCCCAATTCCCTTCTTGGGAAGCCAGAAGGAGGGTCACGTTGGTGGGTGAGTCAGTGAAGTTTTTGACTCTTGGTTTTAGCTCGGGTCATGATGTCAGGGTCTTGCGATTGAGCCCTGTGTTGGGGACCATGCTCAGAGGGGAGTCAGGTTGAGATTCTCTCCCTCTCCCTCTGCTTCACCATTGGCCCCTCCCCCTACTCTCTATCTCTCTCAAATAAATAAAATAAATGTTTAAAATAGAAGGAGGGGCACATGAGTGGTTCAGTCGGCTAAGCACCTGACTCTTGATTTCAGCTCAAGTCTGGATCTCAGGCCTGTGATTTCAGGCCCTGTGTTGGGCTCCATGCTATGTCTGGAGCCTACTTAGAAAAGAAAGGGAAAAAATATAATAGAAGGAGGCATACGTGCACGCTGGGGTCACCAGTGAGGTGTGCCAGAAGCTGGATCACACTCACATGTGAAAGAGTGTATCCCTGACTCCCACCTCAGCACACAGAGCATTCACACAGGTTTTTTATATTGGCCATGACGGGCATATTTACACCAAAGAAACAGGCAAATGCCACGAAGGACAGCTTTTTAAAAACCGATTATTTCTTAGAGTCAGTGTAGCAGCTCACCACCTGGCTGTCACTTCAAACACCCCCTGAGCTCCCTCAAACTGATGGTATTTCTGGAAAACTCTACCAGGTATCACTGGATGAGGAGAGAAGGGCTCAATGAGTCCAGAGAGGGTTTAGGGAATTGTTTTCCATCATCTATTTCCAAGTAGACCCTATTTTTACCCCATCTATTCAAAACCAGATTCTGTGTTCTATAAGGAACAGAAGTATACTTCAAAGAATGTGGTTAATAAAAATGAAGGAGAATGTATATATATATAGATATATATATATTCCTCCTCACTCATCCCTCCTGGAGTCTGACTTGTTTTGTGATGGTCTGAGGTTATCAGCTACACCTGAGAGTCAAAAATAGAGCCTGTGATTGAGGAGACCTAGGAATGCTTAAGTATTCCCTTCCCTCATCTCTAGGGAGTTCCTGAAACTAGCTAATGTCATCTCAATCCCTTGAGGTGAGCATCTCCAGAGTCTCACCTTCCATCTAATTAGGAGGCAAAAATAAACATGTGAGGCTTCATTTTGTCCTGAGAATCAGGAACATGAGGAGTGAAAGGCAGGGTCTATCTTTTTATCCCTGCACATCAGCCAGCTTCTTCTGGCCCCTGACTTGGGATTATATATTTCCATAGCACTTTCTATTCTTCAATCTAGCAATCTATGTTTAAGAATGACATGGTGGGATCTCTGCAACCCACCATGCAAACTGTCTAGGAGGAAGGATTACCAAAGGTAACATAAGCTCCAATTACTCATTCAGTTTGCCATCTAGATAGAGTGATTGATAAGAAATGAACAAGAAGATTTGTACCATACACTCTTAGAGAAGGAGGAAGCTGTGTTAAAAGGGGCCATTGTCGCAAATGCTCCAGATGTGGGCTGTGAGCAAGAGGTCTTCCTGATGTCACACTCTGTTCCCTTCTGCTTGGAGAAGGGTTCCCGGGCAGGAGGGGCCAGTTCCTGCTCTCACCTGTCACCACCAGGGCCAGGAGGTCACTCCGCTGTGACCAGCTCTTCCCTCTCTGATATGCACACCGGTATCGCCCTGAACTGTGTGAGCTCATGGATGCAAAGGAGAAACTGACCCTATCGCTGGAATCCTCTGAGGTCTTCATGGACAAGGATTCATAGACCCTCTCTTTATACAGATAGTAGACATCAGCCCGCAGAGACGCCTGACACCAGATGGTCACAGGGCTCCCCTTGGTGACCATGGGGCCAGGATCAGCCCAGATGGAGGGTTTGGGGAGGGTCCCTGGAAAGGAATCAGATGGAGACTTGCAAGGGTGCCCTTCTCTCCTCATTTTCCCACCTGTCACCCCCAAGGCCCCTCCCACACTGGTCACCATCAGCCCTGACCCTCTGTGACCCCCAAATGCCCAGGGGGTTGTTGGGCAGAAGTAGGATTTCTGGGGAGGACTCACCCACCTGTGCCCAGTCCCACAGGGTCTGACACACCATGAAAGTGTCTTAGGTACAATACATATAACAACTTCAATGTAAAGGGGTGAGGACACAGTCATTTATATGTTTATAAGGTTCCCACATTTCATTGAAGAGGTAAAATACTAATTCTAACTTGACTGTTAGGTATGTATATGATAATATCTAGACAGCCACTTAAACAGCAACCAAAAGGTATAGTTAAAACTGCAATAAGGACATTAAATCGTAATACGAAACATATTTCTTAAAGCCAAGAAAAGGAGGAAAACGGAAATAGAAGAGCGAACAAAAGAGCAGACAAACAAAAATAAAATAATGAATCTAATAATCTTATCAGTAGTTACATTATATGTAAATGGTGTAAACACTTTATTTTTTTTAAGATTTTATTTATTTATTTGTCAGAGAGAGAGATTGACAGGACCTGGTGGCAAAGGCCCATGGGAGTGATTATGTAATGGGTAGGGACTTTCTGTTGTGGTAATAAGAATGTTCTAGAAATGGGGGCGCCTGGGTGGCTCAGTCGTTAAGCGTCTGCCTTCGGCTCAGGTCATGATCCCGGGGTCCTGGGATCGAGCCCCATATCGGGCTCCCTGCTCGGCAGGAAGCCTGCTTCTCCCTCTCCCACTCCCCCTGCTTGTGTTCCCTCTCTCGCTGTGTCTCTCTCTGTCAAATAAGTAAATAACATCTTTAAAAAAAAAAAAAAGAATGTTCTAGAAATGGATAGTGATGATGATTGTCTAACATGGTACATGTACTTCATGCTGCTGAATTATATACATCTGCAATGGTTAAAACGGTAAATTTTATGTAATGTATATTCAACCACATTAAAAAAAGTAGAACAAAAAACGTGCTATACAAACACTAATCAAAAGAAAATTTAAGTCATTGAATTAGCTTCCAAGTCCTGCTGTCACAAATGACCACAAACTTGGTGTCTTAAAACACACAAATTTATTATCTTACAGTTCTGGATGTCAGAAGTACAAATACAATCTCATGGGTGTAAAGTCAAGGAATAGGAGACATTCACTTGCTTCATCTTCATTCAAACCAGAATTCTGAATGCAATTGACTTCTAAATATTGACCATGTATCCCATAAATTTGGAAAACTCCTTTTTATTTGGGGTAATACATATTTATACTATTTTTTTATTTTCTATGCACACAACTGTGTAATCTCAGAGCAATACAAGTATTATTCTTATCCATTTCCATGCTTATTGTTTTGTTTTGCTTCTTTTAATTGGTTGGTACTTCCAATTAAATGAGCTGAATGCTGCGCTGAATACAAGCGGTCATAAGAAACATACTTGGATCGTCCCCATCACAGAGAAAAGGACTTCAAGTTCTCACCTTCAAAGATGATGTCCAGGTGCTGATTGATAACCATGCTTTCATAAATTGTAAGAAACACCTTTTTATTTTGGACGAGTTTTTGTTTTCATTATGAATTGTTGGTGTGTTTTATCAAAAGCTTTGTGTGCATCTGTTGAGATTATTTCTTAATTTTTAAATTTTTTTAAAAAAATTTTATTATTATGTTCAATTAGCCAACATATAGCACATCATTTTTAGATTTTTAATTAAATTATAGTTAACATATGATATGAGTTCCAGGTGTCCAACATAGTGAGTTAACAATTATATACATTATGCAACGCTCACTATAAGAAATGCAATTATCATGTGTCACACAAAAAATTATTACAATATTACTGATTATATTCCCTAAACTGTATTTTTCATCCCCAGGGCTTGTTTATTATGTAACTGGAAGTTTGTAACTCTTAATCCCCTTCACCTGTTTCAACCATCTTCCCATCCCCCTCTCCTCTGGTTTGTGAGATGGTTTTTTTTACAAATTCTGTTAATGTATCAGATTACATTGACTGAGTTTTAAAATTTTAAGCTACTCTGTTCCTCCCCTCCCCCCCAAAATCCAGTGTGGTCATGATGTGGAGTCTTTTTTAACTATTGCTGAATCTTATTTGTGAACATTCTGTTTAGAGATTTACATCGAAATTTATGTGAGACGTCTTTATGTGCCTTTTTCATTCTGTAATGACCTTGCCAGGTTTTGGTGTCAATAGTTTCCTGGCCTAATCCAATATTGCTCCTTCCCTTTTTATTCTCAGGAAGGTTTGTGTGATTTTGGTGTGTGTATATGCTTGTGTGTGTTTCCTAAGGGCATAAGTGTTTGGAGGAAATTCCCAATGAAGCCTCCTCAACAGACACATTTCTTTATTACAGAATGATTATACCATGGCCTTAGCTCACACTTCCATCCCATAACATAGTTGCCTTTCTTGCATGTGTTGAGAACATTTAGATCTACTCTCTTTGCAACATTCAAGAATATGATACAATGTGATGAGCTGTGGTCATCATGCTGTACATCAGATCCCCAGAACTCGTGGTCTTATAACTAAGAAGTTGTTTATCTTCTAGCTATAATCTTGACCAACACCTCCCCATTTCCACACCCCAGCCCTGGAAGCCACACAGTCTGCTCTCCGTTTCTCTCAGTTTCCACATACTTCATTTGGGGGGTGGGTTTTTTAAAAAATTTGATTATCCAACATATAGTACATCACTAGTTTCTGCTGTAGTGTTCAGTGATTCATTAGTTACAATAACACCCAGTGCTCATCACATCACTTGCCCTCCTTAATGCCCATCACACAGTTACCCCATCTCCCCACCCCCTCCCTTCTGTAACCCTCAGTTTGTTTCCCGGTATCCGGAGTCTCTCATGGTTTTTCTCCCTCTCTGATTTCTTCCCATTCGGTTTTCCCTCCCTTCCCTTCTGGTCCTCTGTGCTATTGCTTATGTTCCACATATGAGTGAAACCATACGATAATTGTCTTTCCCTGCTTGACTTATTTCACTTAGCATCATCCCCTCCAGTCCCATCCATGTTGATGTAAAAGTTGGGTATTCATCCTTTCTGATGGCTGAGGAATATTCCATTGTGTATATGGACCACATCTTCTTTATCCATTCATCTGTTGAAGGGCATCTCAGCTCTTTCCACAGCTGGGCTATTGCAGACATTGCTATGAACATTGGGGTGCATGTGCCCCTTCTTTTAACTACATCTGTGTCTTTGGGGTAAATACCCAGTAGTGCAATTGCTGGCTCATAGGTTTTTGATCACACAGTCAATGCATTTAATGTATACATAGGGTGATACATATTTTCTACTTCTTCATCATTTTGTAACTTGTATTTTTGAGGATTTTGTCAGTTACTTATGTATCTGCTTAAAATGATTCATAATGTTCTATTATTGATTTAAATTGTGTAGGATGGGATGCTGTCCTGATAATGGTGATGTGTACCTTCTCTCTCTCTCACCTGGCTATTGTGGCTAGGATTTATAACCGTTGTTTACAAAAATGAACACTTTGGCTTTATTGATTTTTCTCTATTTTTTGTTTGTCCTCTCTAGTAGCTATTCTTGTCATTATTATTTTCCTCCTACCTTCATTTGGAATAATTTGCTATTCTTTTTCTTTCTTCCTTCCTTTTTAAAAAAGATTTTATTCATTTATTTGACAGAGAGCGAGCGAGAGAGCGAGAGAGGGAACACAAGCAGGGGGAGTGGGAGAGGGAGATGCAGGCTTCCTGCTGAGCAGGGAGCCCAATGTGGGGCTAGATCCCAGGACCCTGGGATCATGACATGAGCTGCCTAATGACTGAGCCATCCAGGCACCCCTACTATTCTTTTTCTATAGTCTCGATATAATAGGTTATATCATTAATTATTTTAGGCTGTTTTCTGTTCTAATATATTAGTTCTTGGTTCTTAATTTTCCCATTTCATAGATTTGATGTATAACATTTATATTACCCTTGTATATGTATCTGATGTATATATGTATAAACATTTTCTCATTTTCATTTTGGTTTTCTCATTTCATTCCTGAATTATTGAGAAGTCCATTGCTTTGATTTCCAAAGTGTAGGGATATTACTATCTTTGATGGCAGAATCAGGCGACTCCCGGAGGGTCCCGGGAGTTCCTACTGGTCTGCGTGAGGAGTCCAGGTTGGCTGGGGTCATTAGGTGGCACCCACTGTGGGCAGCTCCTGTGCCTTCCAGGGTCTTTGTGGTCCCCTTCCCTGGAGTGTGGGGTCTGGGTCCTTCCTGGGCTAGTGGATGGCCAGAGCAGCATACATGCTGGGCTCTGCTGGGAGCTCCCCTGATGGGGAGGGAGGGGATGCACTTGTCTCTCGTCGGAGGGTCAAGCGGTTCAGCTGGGCGTAGGTCACGTCCTGGGGGACGCCAGATGCAGCAGTGTCCTGTGGGGGAGAGAAAGAGGGGAGGTGCATGGTTGGGGTGGGGGGAGCCTGGGGACTCAGAGAAGAAGGGACCCACCTGACAGTCTGTCTGCCTGTCTTCCTCTGCTTGTCTGTCCTCCGAGTCCAGCAATCCCCCCAACACAGGGGAAGGAGAAGGGGCCAGTCCCTGCCTGAGTCTTGATCTTGAGTGGCTCACCTGGGCATATGTCAATCCCTGGGGGTCTTCATCCTGTGTGTTCTGCTGCAGACAGACAGTGAGGGGGAGGTTTGTCTCCTTGATTCCAATCGACCGCCTCAGACCCTTTTCCACACTGTTGCCAGAGTGATGCTTTCAAACTTTCAGGCAGATTAGGTCACTTTCCTGGTGGACTCTCCAGGGGCTTCCTGAGCCTTGGGACATGCAATGCTTTCTATGGCTCTGATTCTGTTCCTGACACTGTTTCTTGCTCATTTGGTTCCAACCACATAGCCTCTGTTCCTTCAAAACATGCTGCTGCCTCAGGACCTTTGCACCTGCTACCCCCTTCTCTTGTTTTATTTTCCTTGGCCACACTTTGCACTCGAGGGTGCGGCCCACCTCCTTGCATATCGTCTGTCACCCACAAGGTGAGCGCATGGAGGGTGGGTCAGATTTGCCCACTGCTGTGCTTGCAGCACTAGGTGGGGCCTGGTAAATGGTGGGCTTCCTGTGCCCATTTACTGGGTGAATGAATGAAGGGGGCCTAAGACCTGTGGGTGATTCATTTCTTCATGCACCCTCTTGAGACCTGGGCATGCACCTCAACAACCAGAAGTCAGACAGCGGTCAGGGAGCCAGACAAGGGGAGCACGGAGGAGGCCCCATGCGGTCACAGCAGGCTGACCCAGAATGCCCAAGGAGGGAGAGGGCATCTGAGGGACACTGCTGAGACTGGGTGGTGTGAGGACAGAGAAGTGTCCATTGGATTAAGTTTGGCACCACGAGGGCCCTGGGGTCTGCACGAGAGTGGGGGTCTCACCCGATGGTCCAGCTCCACCCCCTCCTCAGGTTGAGTGTCTTGCACGGCAGCATCTGCTGGGGAGAATGGGGGGTAACTCTTGGCAAGGTCCCCTGAGCTTCTCAGACAGGGCAGATGTGATCCAGGGGATTCAGCAGTGGGGTGAGGTGCCAAGGTCATGCATGTGGGAATTCGGTCCTCACCCCTTACCCCCAGACCCTCCCAGCCCACCCCCAGGGCAATCCCCTTCCTCTCACAGAGGCTCTCCTCCTGGGTGGCAGCAGCTGGGCTGGAGCTGGGGAGGAGACAGGGTGTTAGGGGGCATAGAGGGGGCGGGTAGGTGGGAGTCTAGGGGGTGTGCGAGTAAGAGTTACCTGTCCTGCAGGCCTCTGTCCTTGGGCTCCGCGTCTGCAGCCCCTGCAGGACATTGCGAATCAGCCTCCCTCTGGGCTGGGAGGTTACGACCACCCCCATGTGATTCCAGGGAAAGGAGCCCTTCACACATATTGTCTGTGTGTCTCTCCATCTCCCGAGATTGAAAAGAGGAAAAACCTTCAATTGGCACGTGGGTCCCACCTGGGTGTTTTCTTTCTAGACTCTCTGACTTGAGATTCTGCAAGTGTCTTTCCACACCAGCCTTTCCTACCTCTCCAGCTTCCCTCTCTGGCCGCTGCCCTGAGCCCACCCTCGGTCGGCCCACAGGACAGCCACCACCCCCTGGGGCCCGTCACCCCCTCCCCTTCTCACCTGGCTTCCTGCCTTCGCCCCGACGCCGGTGTCGGACCAGGAGGAGGACGAGGAGGCCGAGCAGCAGGACGAAGGCCACCGAGACCCCGATGAGGACGTACAGGTACCAGTGGGGACCTTGGGCAGGAGCCACACCATGAACGAGCCAGTGATGCCATTTAACTGAGCACCTACTGTGTGCCAGTCACCTGCTGTGCTCTGTGCATTCACCTCTGACCCTGTCAGCGATCACGCAGCAGGGGATTGCCGCCCCTCCCGCCCACTCCACAGACAGGAAACTGAGGCACAGAGAGGTCATTCACATGTCTCAGGTCGCCCAGCATGGGGGCGGCAGGGCTGGGGCTGGGACCAGGGCTGTGGGCTCCCCGTGCTCTCCTCATGCTGTCCCCTGTGGGGACACCAGCTCGAGGCTCTGGGCTCCTCACATGGGGCACGGCCTGTCCCAGCATCTTCTTCTGGAGCTGAGGGTCCTTCCAGATCCCCTATCACCTAAACGCCCCCAGCCATCGTCCTCCCTCCCCTCCTCCTGCAACGTCACCAGCTGCAGAGGGAAGGCCCCCTGCATAGGTCATGACCTGGGGGCTTCCCCGTGAGTCCTCCTCTCCCACGGTCAGAGCCCTGGTCGGAACTGAGGGGAAATCTACTCTAGGCCACGACTCTCTCCTTTACACTTGGGGACACCGAGGCCCACACAGGAGAGGGGCACGTCCAGGCCAACGCCTGCAGAGGACCCTGAACTGAGGGTGTAACTCAGCCCCTGCTCCCCATGGGCCCTCCCACCACTCCTGACAGAGAGCCTCACTCACCCTCAGAGCCCCTGGAGCCCCGCTGTCCCCCTGGCATCTCTGAGAGACTGGAAGAAAAGCCCCTGGACAGCGGCCCCTGTGACTCACCAGCTGTTGAGCTGGGCCCTGTGGGTGAGGGGCCGGGGTCTGTAGGGGGTCCTGGGGAAAAAGACAAGAGGGGGGCTGGAGCTTCCCCTAGAGACCCTGTCTCTGCTCACACTCTTCTCCCTCATGTGCCCTGTGGCCCCCAAGGTCCCCCTCCTCCGCCTGGAGAATTCTGGTGATGGGGGCGAAGGACGAGGCAGGGGTGGGAGGGCCCTGTTTCCCTCCTGCACTGTGAGCTGTGGACCCCTCTGCTGACGCTCCCTCGGAGCCCCTCACTCCCATCCTAGACCAGAGCCCTCCTGGGCACAGGGTCCTGAAGACAATGTTGGGACACAGAGGGGACAGGATAAGGGGCCTCTCACCTGAGACCAGGAGCTCCAGGGGGTCACTGGGCTGGGACAACAGGTAGGGGGAGGCCCTGGATGAGCCGTAGCACCTGTAGGTCCCCCCGTGGGCTGAGGTCACAGGACTCATGGAGAATTCAGCCTGGTGCTGCCCAGCTCGGCGCTTTGATCTAAGACGCAGGGGGGGATCGGCTGCCCCCTCCTTGGACAGAAGGAAAGTGTCCTCAGAGCTCCATGACTGACACAGCAGGGTCACATTCTCTCCTGAGGTCACCGTGGGTCCCGGCTGCACTGAGAGGGAGGGTGTGTAGGGGAGCTGTCCTAGAGAGAGGAAGGGCAGGTGAGGGGCTGTCCAGCCCTTGCTCTGAACTGAGACTGTCTGTCCTCTGAGTCTCTCCCTTCCCCGTCCCCTGTCTCTCTCCCTCCCTGGGGACCCCACACCCCTGGTCCCACCACCACCACCTGGGCCCCCCTGGCAGGACCTGTGCAGAGTCTGGGGTCCTGACTGACCCCGTCGCATCTCACCTGCGACCAGGATGTCCAGGGGGTCACTGGGGGCCGACCACTCGGAGGAGAGCTTGCGTCCACCATAGCATGCGTACTGGCCCCCGTGGGAGGGTCTCACAGGGCCCAGGTAGAAGTCTGCCCCAGAGAGCCCAGCCTGGGGCTGTCGGCCAAGAAGCTGGGGAGGGTCCCGTGCGCCCTCCTTGGACAGAGCGAATCTGTCGTAGCCGACATCAGAGCGACACTGGAGGGTCAGGTTCTGTCCAGAGGTCACGACAGGGCCCTGCTGGGTCAGGAGGGAGGGCTTCCCCAATGCACCTGGGAGAGACCAGCCGTGGATTGCAGGGGCTGATGCTCCCCAAACCTCCCTTCTCCCATCCTGACCCCGGTCTCACTGTCCATCACCCTCTGTGACTCTGACCTGTGAGCCCCTGTTGTCCCCTCACCCCACCCTCTCATCTGGGGCTCCCCTGGGAGCGGAGCCCCCATAACCTGTCTGGTGCCTCAAAACAGGGATGGGGCAACAATCAGACTCCCTCACCTGAGACCAGCAGCTCCAGGGGGTCACTGGGGTACGACCACACCTGAGGGTTGTTGTTGTAATAACCATAGCATCTGAACGTCGACCTGGGGCTGGGGGTCACGGGGCCCACAGGGAACAGGGCCTGGAACCTCCCACTGGGGGCTCGCTGGGAGTCCAGGGTCCAGGAGGGCTGGCGTTCTCCTTCCTCCATCAGAACAAACCTGTCAAATCCGAACCATGAGCCACACTGGAGGGTCACGTTCCCTCCTGAGGTCACGACAGGGCTGGGCAGGGCTGAGAGGCTGGGTTTGCCATGCCATCCTAGGAGAGGAGGAGGGGACGGTGTTAAATGGGGCTCAGATCCCCCACATTATCCCCAGGGCTGGGCTGTGAGAGGGAGACACCTGAGAGCAGACCCCCTTCCTGAGGGCACAGCCTGGGGCTGGGACCCTGAGTGGGCTCGCACCTGTCACCACCAGCTCCAGGGGGTCACTGAGCTCTGACCAGCCAGTGGGACTGTGATAGTTACAGAGATATCGTCCTGCATATACATTTGTCATGTATTTGATGGAGAACTTAGCCTTGTCCTTGGGCTCCAGTGGCTTCTGACTGTCCCAGGTCACCGAGTTTCCCTCTTTTTGCAGGCGGTACTCCTGGGCCTCCAGGCTCCCCTGACACCAGATGGTCACAGGAGTCCCCCGGGGGATCACAGAGCCTGGCTCAGCCCAGATGGTGGGTTTGGGGAGGGTCCCTGGAAGGAAACGGAGGCTGGGACACAAGACCTTCCCCACCCCCAGGTCCCAGCTCTGCCCCAAACCCCCAGACGTCCCCCTCTGTCAGCCCGGAACTGCTGTTCTCCATCCCCTCTGCCTGGTGGGTGACCCCTGTCCCCAGTGAAGAGGTGGGACTGGGACCCCTGGGGACAGACTCACCTGCCTGCGCTCGGGTCCTGGGGCCCACACTCAGCCCTGGAAGAGAGTTCCTGTGAGAGGTTTGCCCCGAATCCTGAGCAGAACCCCTCCTCCCGTGAGCCTCCTGAGTCTGGGGTCTCTGACAGACCAGGGCCTGGCTGTGGGGCGGGTCCCTCCCAGAATAGGGCGTCCCCTCCCCTCCTCAGATCTCACCGAGACAGAGCAGGGCCATCAGGGTGGGGGTCATGGCGTCTCCTCTCTCTGGCTCTAGCAGTGCATAGGGAGGGACCTCGGTGCCCACAGGACGGGCAGACACACAGGATGTGGGCACTTGGAGGCTGGTCCTGTCTGTCACGGGGTTGTCACATCAGCAGCCCCACAGGAAGGGGAACAGCCTAGCTGTCATTTCCCCAGGGCTGAGGTTAGGACAGGCAATGGGCTTTGCAGAGATTTCTGGCTACATCTCAGGTCTCACCTGACCCTTAAACTCTTGTCTTCCTGGCCTGATACCCCCCCTTGTGACCCAAGCTTCAACAGGTATTTATTGAATGTTTGTATTTTGTCTGGCCCAGAAATACAACGCTGGACTAGACCGATTCAAACTAGTTTTCAGAGCTCACATTAGCAAAACAAAAAACTAAAAGCAAAAAAGAAACCCTATTTAAAAAGGACTATATGGTATATTATTTTCCTGTTGTGTTCCTGCCATAGCCAATCACTACATGCTAGTGGGTTAAAGCAGCACAGATTTATTATCTTATCGTTTCAGAGAACTGAATTCCAACATGAACACCCCTGAGTTAAAATCGAGGTGTCCTGGGGCTGTGCTCCTTCTAGAGGCCCCGGGGGCAAATCCATTCCCTTGCCTTCCCAAGCTGCCAGCCCTGCCCGTATGCCTTGCTGCCCCCTTCCATCTCCAGAGCCAGCCTACATCGCTCCAGCTACTCTGGAGTCTCTTCTTCTTTGCCTCTGACCCCCCGGCCCCCTCCTTCACTCATAAGGACCCTTGTGATGACTCATGGCCAAGCATTCTGTCTCCACTAGAGCTCAGGAGCAACCCAGAACTCCTTCACAAAAGGAGAGTAGTTCTCTGCAGAATGGCATAGTGTGGCCCCCAAATCTTTAATATCTGTGTTGCACTTCATCTATATAGTTCCCTGCCAAAGGATGTCGACCTCATCTGCACAGAAGCTCCAAACACCATTGGATCTTTTGGGGCATACGACTCAGGCTTTCTGCAGCCTGGGCCCATTGCAAAGACTTCTCTTGTTCTGGACTCCACTCAAAACCAACAGCCTCTCGAGACACTGAGTAAGTGGGTGGAGGTAGCATGCCCAGGGAGGGGTATGTATTTTGTCTCCACATTCCAAAGCTGGTCCCCCAGGGATTGAGCTACTGTCTCATTAGTAGGAGGATCAGATGGAGCCATGAGTGTTCACCTCGGGTGGGGTATCTCAACAGGCCTCAGGCAACTGGACTCCTAGAAATTTCACCAAGGTGGCAAGAACCTAAAATTTGGGGAGATTTATTACCCACCCTCTTACAAAACACCTAGAATAGTTGCTACTTTCTGTTTCACAGATGCAACCCACACGGTGTGTACTGGACCTGTGTGATGTCCTGTGCAATGGACGGTCACGGTCCCTGCAGCCTGGATAGTACAGGGCTGGAGATGCGTTCAGGGCTGGAGCCAGATGCACGGCTGGAGACTGGAGACTGGAGACATGCTCAGGGCTGGAGACATGCACAGGAGTCAGATGCAGGGCTGGAGACCGATGCAGGGCTGGACACGTGTGCAGGGCTGGACACATGCGCAGGGCTGGAGTCGGACGCAGGGCTGGACACGTGACATGGACCTGAACAAATGTGGACAGGGACAGCATATGGCTGGCCCTGAGAACTAACGGCAGACTGAATCTGAAGGCCTTTATAGACAGACCCACAATAAACCCACCAATCAACAGCTGTGCACCAGGTGTCAGGGGTTACGTGGGTTTCTCTGTGGGTCTTCAGCTGGAGCAGAAGTGGAAATTGGAATCACCTGATACATAAGAACCCACTTCTCCAAGGTCTGTCTCTGTCTTCTGTGCAAACCAACTAGGCAAGTCGAGTGGAGAGTAGAAGACGTCATTGTCTCTGGATCTGAGTTCTTGGTTCTGGTATGAATCTGTGCAATCTCTCTAAGAGCGCAGAATTACTTTTGTTTCACTATTTGGTAGGGAGAGGCATTTCCAGCACCTTCCACGTGGTCTTTCCTTCACTGACTCTCTTACTCCACACGTCAGAAAACCAGTGTCCGCTGTGAGGATGTCTGTTCAGTGTAAGGATTCCAGAACTAGAGAAATAACCACAAGGGTGGGTCCAGGGAACTACTGATTAGTAGTATGCCTCCACTCTCACTGGTCCATTCAGATGTCAGTGGTTTGGGGGTATCCAGAAGTAATTGAATATTTAACAAAACAGTAAGATCAACAATGCACGTTTTAGGAAAAAAAGAAAAAATCCGCGGGAGGCAACAGGTTACTATTTTACCAATAAAGAAGGCAATGACATTGTTTTTAAATGAAGGGAGACAAAATGCTGAAAAGCCTCTGCACAGGGAACGGTGATTCTGTCCATTCTCGACTTCCTACACACTTACCAAAAACTGAATGTGCATGAGGCACAGCTCATAGATCTTCCTCCTCTCTGGAGAAACAGACTCTATTGGAAAGAACTCCTCATCCCCATTTCTCCTACTCAGAAGTTCCTACTCTGTGACTTCCCATTTCAGAGTAGATACCAGATCTGAATCTGCCTCTCTTGGTGTTCCCAATCCTATCTCTCCTGAATTCCCACCCAAGGCTCCCCTTCACCTACAGATCCAACGTAATCTCACCTGGTGTCTAGGACCTTCACGGAAGTGACTAATTGTGCATTTCAAGCTGACTTTATGCTATTTACACATTCAGTGTCTCTCTCTGCCTCATAAATAATTGTCCCTGATAGGGTAGGGGGTGTATTTGAGAATTCGTTATAATGATTCTGTAAACCAGCAAAAGGAGTTAAGCAATAAATTGCCCCATGGAATTCTAAGTCATGTCTTCTCATTGCTAAATCATGAGTGTACCTCACACCATGCTCCAGCACGTAAAGGACAATAAACGAACATTTACTCAGCAAATAACCACATTATTAATGATTGGTTAGTAATTGCTTAATTGATCACCAATGCTTAATTTAAGACTATTTATTAATGAATGGTAAATTTATAATACACCACTGAGAAAATAATTTGAGGGGAATTTTAAAGTGGAATTCAAGGCTCATTCTAAAAGTACAAAATGATATAATAAAAATATGACTCAATTTCCTCCCCTGTAGAGTAAAGCAGAGTGGGGTGGTGAGTTTTGCAATCTCGGTGACTTTCCTGCCTACCTCAGCTGTGTGGAGAAGTCCCAGGGACAGAGCCTGGAAGGCCACGCTGAGCAACAGGATGCATGAGTAGGCGTCCATTACCCTCCCATCCCAGTTGCATTTTGACACTGACATTTTACCAGAAGCAGGACGGCTACTTCCTCATTTGTCAGTCTCTGTAGTCGTTCCAAAGAAGATGTGGACTTCTCCTTTTTCAGAAGACCATTTCTACCTGTCATAAGTGCACAGTTCTGCATTTCAGGCACTGTCCAAATGTGCCATTGAGTGAAGACTGCCCCACGCCTGGTCAGAGCTGGACAGTCAGAAGATTCACGGGTCCTGCCCAGGTCACCACCTCTCCCCACACTTGGGTGGTTTGTGTGCATCTCCAGAGCTCCCTAGCTCATGGAATCCCATCCAGATTAATGAATTTTAAAACAAGTGCGTGAACAGAGACCTTGGGTGCCTTTCCTCACAGCCGTTGGTCATGGCTGGGGTAGTGAGGGGCAATGATCCAGGGCTGAGGGGAAGGGGGAGAGAGAGAAACCAGGCAGAGAAAGAAACCATGATGCATACAGAAGAGCTTTGTCCAAGGGCACCTCACGCTTCAATTCAGGGTGTGCATTTTGCAGTGGAATACCACGCCAGCGACATTGTCCTTATTTTTCCTTATGGGTGATTTTTGCTTTCGTAACTTGGTTAATTTGGCATCCCTCAGGTGTCTCCACAGTAAAGTTTCTATTTGCCCTTTTAAATTAATACTTGATTTGTGGGGAAATACTTCGAGAATGTGTACATGTTGTGTTCCCGCTTAAACTTCCACTCAGCTGATTCTATCAGCCACTGACCATTATGCTGAAGCAAACACCTTCTCTTCCCCCACTAGATTCATTTCTATATGAATAATATTGCTGATGGTATCTCACTGCTTTTAAATGCTTATGCTCCTTGTATTTCTTTGTGCCATAATAAGCAGAGGCATCTAGGCCTTCTGATTTCCCTATGTCTTCATATTGATATCTAAAGTTCTCCCAGCACTATTTTTTCTTCTCTTTACTATTATCCTTCTTTTCATTTAAAAACCTACCCTAAAATTCACTGTATATAAAGATAACTTTCTTGTAAAGAATGAAACTGGATCACTGTCTTAACATCATGCACAAAAAGACACCCCAAATGGATTAAAGACCTTGATGTGAGACCTGAAGCCATAAAAATCCTAGAAGAGAACACAGGCAGCAATTACTCTGAAATTGGCCATAGCAACATTTTTCTAGATGTGTCTCCTCTGGCAAGAGAAACAAAAGCAAAATTAAACTATTGGGACTACATCAAAACAAAAACTCAGCAAACGAAGCCATCAAAAAATAAAAAGGCAACCTATGGAATGGGAGAAGATATTTGCAAATGTCATATCTGATAAAGGGGTTAATACTCAAAATATATAAAGAACTTATACAACTCAACACCAAAAAAACACAATTAATCCAATTAAAATGGGCAGAAGGCCTGAAGAGATATTTTTCAAAGAAGAAATCCAGATAGTCAACAGATACATGAATAGATGCTCAACATCACTCATCATTAGGGAAATGCAAATCAAAACCACAATGAGGTATCACTTTACACCTGCCAGGATGGCTAGAATCAAAAAGAGAAGAAACAACAAGTATTTTCGAGGATGTGGAGAAAAAAGAACCCTGATGCACTGTTGGTGGGAATGCAAGCTGGTGCAGCCACTGTGGAAAACAGTATGGAAGTTCCTCAAAAAGTTAAAATAGAAATACCATATGATCCAATAATTCCACTACTGGATATTTATCCAAAGAAAACAAAAACACTAATTTGAAGAGACATATTCATCCCTGGGTGTTCAGTTGGGTAAGTGGCCGACTTTATTTGGGCTCAGGTCATGAT